TTCATTTATTTTAAAAAATTTCAATTTAAATTTCGTTTATATCTCAATAGCTTTAGAGGTATGGTCCTTGCAAACTAATAAAAAAACTGAACAAAAGACAGTTACTTCAAAGAGCTATTATTCTTGTGTTTTCTAGAGTATTCCTCCTCACTGAGATTTATCCACAGTTGGTATTTAAAATATTTGCTCCAGCTATGCCGTGTCAATATGTCCTGCCATGTGCTTACTAACGTCGCAATGTGGTTTATACATTTTCCAATACTGGTCACCAACACAAATTCTTTCTGAAAAACAAAACGTTATTATATTTTTAAAATGTATAATCAGTTTTTTTTCTTATTTCAGCGACTCTATTTAACGAGGAATTGTTTCAACACAACATTTTTTTCTTCTTTTTCTAAGGCCGATAACTGATCCTCTAAGAAGACATATTTACGAGACTGTTATGATAAAAAACGTCGATCTAAATATTAGTATCGTATTTTGAAAATGCTGTTTCATTGAATTCTAACTGATAACATGAATATATGAACATAAATATAAAGATATTTTGATAAATAATAATATTTTAACACAGCAAAGTTTTCTTCAAATTTTTTTTGGGGCCGGGGGGAGATCTTGTTGAGTCCGGGGAGATTTTCCCTTTTTTAAAAAAAATAAAAAAAAACTGATTCTGATTAAAAATTTAAAAAAATTAGAAAATGGGTAAAATGTCGGTTTATGTTTTGGTACGTTAAAAAAATTTTTAAGAAGGTTTACCTTTTTTTGTTTGGGAAAAATGGGGGGGCTTCAAAAAAAAATTATCCCCTTTTTTGGCCCAACCGGCAAAAAATTAATGAAAAATTTTAAAATTTTCAGTACTATACATTCTTTGGGGCGCTAAAAGATTTTTTTTAAAAATCTTACGTTTTTTAAAAAAAAGTGTTTTTACCTCGAATGACGAAAATGGTCAAGTGGGACTTCGCAGGTGCGCGATGAGTAGTATCCCCCAATTTTTAAGATCGACTTTTTTTTTCTGAAAAATTAAACGCACATAATTTTAAAAATACCGTTTCTTGGTGCAAATAAAGCTGGACACTAAAGCATAATAACACACACTTTCGGTTCGAAAAAATGCGGGTCGTGTTAGAATGTATGTTAGAACTTTCTGAGTTTATTTTTTTACACAAGATCTGGCTATTAAATTTTGTCAAAAATAAAGGGAATAATATCAGAACTTATCAGGTACCCTTTGTTTATAATGCTCAATAAGTGTCTTATATACTATATGATTATTGATGTGTTCAATTGATATAATCTTTATAATTTATCGTGGACTTTTTAAGCACGGATGCACACTTATAGTTGCAGAGGAGGTGCCGACAAGACAGACATCACAAAGATAACAACCAACCCTGGGCTTACCAGAGAACATCAGACGTATCACACGGCAGAAGAAACGCTGGTTCAAGCGTGCAAGGCGATCTAACACCCAACATGACTGGAACAGATACATAACTATCAAGCGCCAAGCCCAGCTGACATGTAGGCGTGCACATGACCACCATGTTGCCTCAATGCTGAGTGAGGACCATGAAAACCCCAAAGTCTTCTGGCAGTATATCAAATCAAGGAAAAAAGACAACTTTGGAGTAGCAGCCTTGAAGAAAGACGGGATAACCTTCAGTGGAAGCAAACAGAAAGCTGACATACTTAATGATCAGTTCACCTCTGTCTTCACTAAGGAAGATGACTCAGACCCGCCACAACTTCCAAAACGCCATATCTCAGATAAGAGCCACATTACTGTGACAGAGAAGGGTGTCCTCAAGCTTCTCCTTGGACTTAAACCACACAAAGCTGCAGGCCCAGATGAAAGTTCCCACCAGACTCCTCAAACTCTGTGCCAAGGAACTTGCCCCAGGCATGACCAGAATCTACCAGCTTTCTCTAGACAGTGGTACACTCCCAGCTGACTGGAAAACAGCTGATGTCTCCCCAATCTTCAAGAAAGGAAACAGATCTACACCATCCAACTACAGCCCTATCTCCCTCGCATCAATCTCTTGTTAGATCCTCAACATATAATTTTTAGTAACATCATGGCTCAACAACAACAACATACTGTCCGACTCCCAGCATGGCTCCCGACGTCGTCGCTCCTGTGAATCACAACTACTCACCACTGGGAACAACTTTGTCAAAGGACTTGACAAGAATGAGCAAATCGACGCTATCCTGCTCGATTTCAGCAAAGCATTCGACAAGGTCTCACACACACGACTGCTGATGAAACTAGACAATTATGGGGTCAGAGACAACACATTAAAATGGGTCCAAGGATTCCTCTTTGGCAGAACGCAGCGCATGGTCCTGGAAGGCTCACACTCCCACACATCCCCTGTCACATCCGGGGTGCCCCAGGGCAGCGTCTTAGGTCCTCTGCTCTTCATCGCTTTCATCAACGACCTACCCTCTAGGGTAAAGTCGAGGACTGGCATGTTTGCTGATGACTGTCTCCTCGATAGGACGATCAAGAGCCAGGAGGATGCCCGTGCCCTACAAGACGACTTTAACAGTCTCATAGTCTGGGAGAAGGAATGGCAAATGGAGTTCAATGCTGCCAAATGTGAGGTCATCCGAATTACCACCAAGAGGAACCCCATTATCTGCCCATACACAATACACCAGACAACCCTCAACGTAACCAACCAGGCCAAGTATCTTGGAGTCACCATCACACCAGACCTATCTTGGAAATGCCACATCGACAATTTAACGAAAAAAGCCAACTCAATCCTAGCTTTCCTGCGCCGAAACATCCGGTCAAGCACACCAGATGCCAAAGCCAAAGCCTACAACACCTACGTACGGCCAAGCGTTGATTATGCCTCCTCTGTATGGTCACCTGTTGCTGACAGCCACATCAACCAACTAGAGATGGTACAAAGAAGAGCAGCACGGTTTGTCAAGAACGACTACTCACGCCAGAGCAGTGTCACAGAGATGGTAAACTCACTACACTGGACCACTCTACAGAAGAGAAGAGACATGGCAAGAGTCACCATGCTCTACAGGATCAAGCATGACCTTGTAGATGTCACACCAGATCCCCCGCTACGTAATGCAAGAACATCAAGAGGCAACCAACAACAACTCAGCCAGCTCACTTGTAAGAAATCTGTGTACCAGAACAGCTTCTTTCCGGCCACCATCATCCTCTGGAATCGCCTACCTATACAAGTTGTTGAGAAACCAACCTTGGAGGGGTTCAAGTCGGCGCTGACAAAACACACAACCACCAACTAGACACATTGCCAGTTTTTACCAGATTTTAAAAAGATGTAAATAGACATTTTTTAACTGTAAAGAGGAGACCAATTGCTACGCATGTACATAGTTTTAGTTTCATCGCGATTATGCTCTATGAAGAGTGAGGCGATTACTGAAGATGATGATGATGATGATGACTAACCAGTTCTCAAACCTCTAAGCATTCAAGAGGTCTTTTAATGTAAATAAAAATATATCTTTATAAAAATTCTTTACAATTGTACACTTTAATCTTTATGTAACATTTCTGTAAAATTTGACTGAAATTCAACTATTAAAAAAGCTTTATTTCCATCTTGGAAAAGCACAACCCTCTGTTTTAAATCTAACATGACCTCTTCGAATAAAGAACCTAATCTCAAACCCCTTCAAGTATCTCTAAAATTTTACTGTTTAGTTTAGCCAATGAAGTGATTGTTATATGACTATCACATGACAATGAAGTACCCTACACGCTTTAAGATATTTTGTCTATAATATTCATTTTTTACAAATAGTTAATGGTGTGTTTATGGGACTTACAAAGGTAATAGCAATTTGTATGAAATTTCGCTAAGTAATAAAATATGTTATGTAAATATTTTTTCCAATGCACTATTTTCATTTGACATCAGCAGACATGTCTGTCAGAAACTAAGCTTTTATGCACACAAGTTCAGGACATCATAGTCACTCCCAGTAAAAAAATAACAGCACATGAATTAAAGGTTTGAGAATAGGTTGGGTGTTAGATTAGGTACTTCTACGATATATATATATTTGCATCTTAATCAAGTATTTATAAAAATAATTGCCATACGTAGATGTTAGATAGAAATTGAGTACACTTACGAAACACAACAGGTAAACTACATACATTTTAAAGTGTTCCATTCGTTAAGATTAATAACCCTTGCCATTGTTATTCAAGCTAAATGTATGCATGTCTATGCACGGAACACTATGTTTAACGGGCAGCACGAAATACCCAAATACGGTGTACACCCAAATATACCCAAATATTGCCTTAATATACCCAAATATTGCCTTAATATTCCCAAATATTGCCCAATTATACTAAAAATAAATTTTTAATACTAAAAACGTGCTGTTTTAATCATGAATACAATATACACTTTCACTAAGATATAATCAAACATACCCAAATATACATTTTCCTATCATTGTGTTTTGAACCAAAATACAGTATATGTACTCCATTAAAGCAATTATTTTATTAAATAACATGGACACATGTATATGATATGAATTTCAGAAATTTCAACAAAATTACACCTTAAAAATGTAAGTGTAGACAACAAATATCATATCTTAATTTAAAATTGCAAGTACATTCATAAAGAACCTATATAGTAGATAAGCAAATGTCACAACTTTATTTTCTTACAACATCTTATAGATCTACCCATTTCAACGGAATGAATGAAAGTTATAGCATGCTAAGTCATATTTTTTTTATAAATATTTATCTATTTCTCATTATAATATATATTTTATACAAACAAAAATAAAAATTGCTATATTTGGGTATATTTGGGTATTTCGTGCCGCCGTGTAACTTCGACCGCGTATCTTTTTTTAAAGATATTTCTTGTTTATGATGGTACCATCTGACCAGATTGCGATCTTTCACACGAGTAGATTTTTTATGATACACCGGCCTATTTTAATACGCGTCAAGCTAATTAGGTTAAGCTGTCAACAAGTCAAAAATCTCGCTAGCATTATTTTAACAACACATTGAGGATATTTTTTTAAAAACCAAATTTTTTTCTTATTCATTTTATCGGAAATATCAATTTTATGTTAACATTGCCAGACAAACTAATTTGTCATCTGGGTTTATTTTCTTAAGCGTAGTAAAAATGTGAACAAAATGGTTCAAATCAAAACATGAGATATTGATGTGATTTTGTAAAAAAAAGTATATCTACCCCTGTCACGATGGAGAATCTGAAAGTGTATTTAGCGGTTTTACTCCTTTTTGTGTGCTGCACGTCTGTCACAGGTGATTGTTTAAGAGACGATTCAAATATCCTTTAATAAGTTCAATTTTCATACCTTAGTGTCCTGTCCATATATCTAATCATAAAATTCAGTTTTTTCCTGTATATTTGATTTATTACAAATTTAAAACAGGCATACATTTTATGGATGATATATTCTATGGTGCCAAGGCTATTAAAGTAGTTCATTTATTTTCCCCTGTCAAACCCCATTTTAGGGACATGCACATTTGGATAGACAGACATTTCATTCCCAAAATGGTTCCTACCAAGACATTTCACTCCTAATGTGGAAGTCTTGAAGACGTTTCACTCCCTATTTTAGTGAAACATCTGGCATTCCATTTGTAAGATCTACTTGTCATCAGTTCAGCAGTTATCCATCTGTCTATTTCATGCTTGGATTGTAGAAGGCTAAAGAGAACCTTAAATAATTAACTAGTGGGATTCGTACCAGTGATCTCTGAATTGGGTGTCGAATGCTCTATTCCTACATGGGAACAAGACACTTCATTTTACAGACACTCCCCATGAGACTCAAATTTTTAAGACAATTAACTAAATAGACATAATATGCATGACTTGAGACTCTTTGGAATCACTTATTAACTTAATATTTAAGTCATCAATATGTTTTGCATTTTTCACCCTCATTTGGCTTTGCAATAAAACACAAAACAAAAAAATTGGGGGTTGAAGTGTTAGTTTTAATTCAGTTTTGAAATGAATTATAGTAAATGTGAAGTTATATTCTAGTAGAGCTGTCATTGATACATTGCAAAGCATATTGACGATACATTGATATCGGATATATAACAAATATCGGCTATAATCCTATATATCGATATAATGACTCCAAATTTCTTGTATATAACAGACTTCCCGAAATACGTCGGTCCGACGGACATGTCCGATAAATTTTGATCAGGTCCGACAATTTTTTATTCTGGATCGGTCCGACTGTCCGGCTTTTATCCAAGCCGCATGTATACAAAATGGCGTCGCTAAAGGTGCCAAACCTTGGAAAACCGATAATCTACGTCAGAAGAGTGCGCAGAACAGCAATAAAAGGATGAAAAGAATAGACCAGAGACGAAATTTAATGAAAAATGGAAGCAGAACCATGTTTCATTGGTGTATGACAGGGAGGAGATGAAAATGCGCTGTACGGATTGTGCCGATGTTTACGGCGAAAAAATAAAAAACAAAAAGTGTCTTAGAAATACAAACACAAGTTTTTCTTTGATTTTGATCAATTTTATTTGGTCTGACAGATTTTGTTTCGGTCCGACAGATTTTCATGGTTTGTCAGACCGAATGTCTGACAGTTTTTTTCAACTTTCGGGAAGTCTGATATAATTCACTTTCATACCTGTTTAAATGATTTTTGTAAAATATATGTTCTGTTCATACAAATATGTTGTGTCCTGTTTATATAAAAGACCTTTGCATGACTTTTTAGCTCGACTATTCGATAAGAATAAGTAGAGCTATTGCAGTCACCCGAGCGTCGGCGTCGGCGTCGGCGTAACCACTTATGTTAAAGTTTTTGTAATAGTTCAAATATTTTCAAAGTCCATTGACATATGGCTTTGAAACTTTGCACACTTGTTCACCATCATGACCCCAACCTGTAGACAGGAGGAGGTAACTCTATCAAGCATTTTGACAGAATTATGCCCCTTTTTCGACTTAGAATTTACGTTAAAGTTTTTGTAATAGTTCAAATATTTTCAAAGTCCATTGACATATGGCTTTGAAACTTTGCACACTTGTTCACCATCATGACCCCAACCTGTAGACAGGAGGAGGTAACTCTATCAAGCATTTTGACAGAATTATGCCCCTTTTTCGACTTAGAATTTACGTTAAAGTTTTTGTAATAGTTCAAATATTTTCAAAGTCCATTGACATATGGCTTTGAAACTTTGCACACTTGTTCACCATCATGACCCCAACCTGTAGACAGGAGGAGGTAACTCTATCAAGCATTTTGACAGAATTATGCCCCTTTTTCGACTTAGAATTTACGTTAAAGTTTTTGTAATAGTTCAAATATTTTCAAAGTCCATTGACATATGGCTTTGAAACTTTGCACACTTGTTCACCATCATGACCCCAACCTGTAGACAGGAGGAGGTAACTCTATCAAGCATTTTGACAGAATTATGCCCCTTTTTCGACTTAGAATTTACGTTAAAGTTTTTGTAATAGTTCAAATATTTTCAAAGTCCATTGACATATGGCTTTGAAACTTTGCACACTTGTTCAACATCATGACCCCAACCTGTAGACAGCAGGAGGTAACTCTATTAAGCATTTTGACAGAATTATGCCCCTTTTTCGACTTAGAATTTACGTTAAAGTTTTTGTAATAGTTCAAATATTTTCAAAGTCCATTGACATATGGCTTTGAAACTCTGCACACTTGTTCACCATCATGACCCCAACCTGTAAACAGGAGGAGGTAACTGTATCAGGCATTTTTTTTACTATCAAGCACTATCAGAATAGTCGAGCATGCTGTCCTACCGACAGCTCTTGTTATTAACCATTTTTTGTTGTCACTGCTATGAAATGTGTCCATTATGTATGTTAGACATCACCACCTGCTTTTGTATACATTTTGGGTGAATTTTCATAATTCATACACATTAAAATAATAAATCAAAATGATCATTTTTTTCAGTAAAAACAGTACTTATCGTTTATTGATCAACAGAAAAATATCAACAATTGAATACATCTATATCGTCTTCATCAATGACAGCTCTATATTCTAGTTTATTAATGTACAGCAGGGAATATTCAAGATAATCTATTATAGAGTCTGAGAGGTGGCGTTTGTTTTCAGTTCACCTTATTGCCTCTAAAACACTGCTCTGTCACTTAAGTCTTAGTTTATACAGAATTTATTTAGCTTGTTTGTGTAGAATTAAGAAAGCCATGTGATTATAAACTCATTAGTCATTCAGGCATCCATTTCCTGCATACAACCAGTACCAGCATAAACGTAAAGTTTCTTGCTCAAGGAAACAAGGCTTGCCCCTCACATAGGGCTTATTACCTTCTATAGCAGAGGCTGTTATAGGGCAGCTTCCCCACAGAAAAATTCTTTTATAAAATCATGCAGTTTTCCCCAAAAAGTTGAATTTACATCAACTTTTTTCTTCCCCTTCTGCAAATATACCATATTAGTTTTCAAAAAAATAATGGCGGGCTGCTTCCCCAACCATTGAAAAAAAAACACCTGAGGCCCTGACATGGTTTACACTTTAACTAATATGTGGCTGGCAATCCTTAGTTTTCTGCTCCCACATGTTCACCACTCAGCCATGCCACGACTATAAGTTTTGATATTTAATTATTATCTTTCTGTTTGATGTAAGACATGAATGCCGTGTCCTGATACACCTTGTTTGTATGATTACAGGCTTATATTGTCTTTGTGAAGATGAAATGTGTCCAGAATCAAAAACATGCATTACAGATGGTGCCTGTTTTACATCAATTTATAAAAAAGAAGGCAAGGAAATATATAAATTCAAGTAAGTATTAGTTTAGTCTTAAGTTATAATTACTGACGGTTTCTATAGAAACTTGCATCATACTTCTTTCTGATTAAAGTTCAAGACCGTTATATTATCTATATTGTCAATTTTAACATAAATGAGCCGCGTGAACGACAAAACCAGCATAGTGGGTTTGCGACCAGCATGGATCCAGACCAGCCTGTGCCTCCGCACAGTCTGATCAGGATCCATGCTGTTCGCTATCAGTTTCTCTACTTGTAATAGGGTTTGTAAGCGAACAGCATGGATCCTGATCAGACTGCTGGTCGCCAACCCACTATGTTGGTTATGTAATATTCATAATTCATTTTTAGCTCGACTTTTCTATGAAAAGGGGAGCTATCCTACTCGCCCCGGCGTCGGCGTTGGCGTCACACCTTGGTTAAGTTTTTCGTACCACCCCACTTTATTTCAGAAGTATTACAAGTATGGCTTTGAAACTTACCATACTTGTTCACCATCATAACCTCCATCTACAGACAAGAGTACATAACTCTGTCAAGGTTTTTGATAGAACTATGGCCCTTTTTTGACTTAGAAAGTGTATTGAGCTTGGTTAAGTTTTTTGTACCACCTCACTTTATTTCAAAACCATTGGAGGTATTGCTTTGAAACTGACCATACTTGTTTACCATCACGACCTTCATCAACAGACAAGAGGACATAACTCTGTCAAGGTTTTTGACAGAATTATGCCCCTTTTTGACTTAGAAAATACATTGAATATGGGTAAAATCCACTTATTGCCTTAACCCTTTGAGATATTGCTTTGAAACTTTTAATGCTATTTCACATCATTACCCCCATCTGTACGCAAGAGAAGGTAACTCTGTCAAGGATTTGTTTTAAAAATTAAGGCCTTTTATCGACTCATGGCCATTGTTCACTTTAAAAATACAGAGATTCTTGTATTGCCTTTTACTGCAAAAACTTTTTTTATTGGCAAGCAATAAAAAAGTCGAGCGCGCTGTCTTACGGACAGCTCTTGTTTAATTGTATAGTTATCTTATTTCATGGGTGTTATTTCACTTTCAAGTAAGAGACAAAAACACTTTCATTGCTTGACAATTATACTTAAATGATATAACACATAATATACTTAAATGATATAACACATATATGAACATTTTCACAGTTGTATAGATAACTCTGAAAGCTTGACACCAGGAGCTCCTTACTTATGTCAGAACACAAGAGTTATGGCCCTTACATACACTGAATGCTGTTATACTGATATGTGTAACAAATTTGTTTTACCAACAATGAAAACAGTAACAGCTATGGAAGGTATTATATAACCAATCCCATGTTATAGTAGTGATTGCACACTTCCTGCTCTGTCCCTACTGTAAGTCCTGGTCATAGATAGCTGCCATTTTAAGTTAGTATAATTATGTTTGTCAGGAGTACTTGATATAATATTTTTTTTTTCTCTTTTATTTTTCAATCAAAATATACAAACATTCAAATCATAGTACATGTAATGAATACATAAAAAATAATGTCAATTCAATGTTATCAGATTATGACAAGTATATTTGTATGTTAAGATCTTTTTATAAAAGATTTTGACAGAAGAAAATGAGTGCTAAGAAAAACTGATAGTACTATAAAGTGCAAAGTAAGTAAGAAAGAGAGAAAAGAAAGTGTATAAAGAAAGGAAAGATAGATGAAGAATGAGAAGGAAAAAAAAGAGAGAGAAAAGGTAAAGATTTGATATAATATGACACAGTGCAATCTATCTATGGACTGATATATTACCCCTTAAGTCTTACCATTTAAAGTGGACAATATCACTGGCACTATTGTTATGCAGTCAGTTGAAGGAAGTTCTAGAAAGCTCCAAAAACTAATTTTTTCTCCTTTTGAAGCAACATGCCTCAATATCATCAGAGGGTGAAATACCACTATAGAAATTCAAATACCACAATATAATATCACAGGCAATTTATTATGCCCCCGCCATGTAATGGCCGGGGCATATAGTGTTACCCTGTTCCGTCATTCCGTCCTTCCGTCCTTCCGTCCTTCCATCCTTCCGTCCTTCCGTCCTTCCGTCATTCTGTCATTCCGTCATCATCAGTTTCCGTTCATTATCTTAAGAACGGTTGGGCACATTCAACTCAAATTTGACATATGGATATGTCATGAGAAAATACAGGTCAAGTTCGAATTTGGTCATGGTTCGATGATTTTTGGCAGAGTTATGCCCCTTTTACTTTGAAAATAATATGAAATTTCAGTTTCCGTTCATTATCTCAAGAACGGTTGGACACATTCAACTAAAACTTGACATATGGATATGTTATGAGAAAATACAGGTCAAGTTCGAATTTGGTTATGGTTCAATGATTTTTGGCAGAGTTATGCCCCTTTTACTTTGAAAATAATATGAAATTTTCAGTTTCCGTTCATTATCTCCCCAACAATACAACACAATCAACTCAAACTTGACATATGGATATGTCATGAGAAAATACAGGTCAAGTTCGAATTTGGTCATGGTTCGATGATTTTTGGCAGAGTTATGCCCCTTTCACTTTGAAAATAATATTAAATTTTCAGTTTCCGTTCATTATCTCCCTCAAGGTACAACACATTCAACTCAAACGTGACATATTGATGCGTCAAAGGAATGCGCAGGTCAAGTTCAAATTTGGTTGTGGTTCGATGATTTTTGGCAGAGTTATGCCCCTTTTACTTTGAAAATAATATGAAATTTTCAGTTTCCGTTCATTATCTCCCTCAAGGTACAACACATTCAACTCAAACGTGACATATGGATGCGTCAATGGAATGCGCAGGTCAAGTTCAAATTTGGTCATGGTTCAATGATTTTTGGCAGAGTTATGCCCCTTTCACTTTGAAAGTAATATGAAATTTTCAGTTTCCGTTTATTATCTCCCCAATGGTACAACACATTCAACTCAAATTTGACATATGGATATGTTTTTGGAATGCCCAGGTCAAGTTCAAATTTGGTCATGGTTCAATGATTTTTGGCAGAGTAATGCCCCTTTCACTTTGAAAATAATATGAAATTTACAGTTTCTGTTCATTATCTACCTAACAGTGTTACATATTCAATTTTAATTTGACATATGGATATGTCAAAGGAATGGGCAGGTCAAGTTGGAATTTGGTCATGGTTTGATGGATTTTTGGCAGAGTTATGTCCCTTTCACTTTGAAAATAATATAGATACATCTTAGGAATAAGCAGTTTAAGTTTGAATTTGGTCATGGTTCAATGATTTTAGACAAACTTATCTTGCCTGAATGTTGGAAAAATTTTGAACTTTCAGTTTCAGCACTCATTCTTTTAGCCATTATTTTGGCTACAAATATGCAATATGCTTTTTCTAAAGGTTAAGACTGAATAATTTCAGTGCCTTGAACGTTGTATGGAAATGGTTTGTGTTAACATTGAAAAGTTTTAAGGGCTTTGAACTTAAAATGAAAAAAAAAAATTAATGCACCATCTGAAATTTTGGCTGCATGCGGGGGCATCCGTGGCATGATGACACATTTCTAGTTAATGTATATATTATACATGTAGTCTGTTGATCTAATGCTGTTGGGGGTATTATGCTCTAAATGTTTAATTTTAAAGGCACATTTTGCCTGAGAAACAAATTTTTACTTCCTTAGAAAGGGCAAAAACGAGTAATGTTACATTTAGATAATGGTTTTACTTTTAGAGGACATCAGATGCTTGTTACCTGAAAAAGTAGCGCTTTATTTTTGAAAATATTTGTCATAAAAATAGCAAAATGTAAACAAAATAGAATTTTGACTTCCATGCAAAATACTAAATCACTATAACTGTACTAATTGCCAAAATTCATCAGAGGAAACAGATGGTTAAGATAATTGGTGAATGAGTAATTTTTGGAAACTATAGAAGAATATCAAATATAAACAGCTTTTGAGAAATATTTAAAGTTTAAAAGCATGTCTAAGGCATAACAGGCTTTTAAGGTGAAACAAATGTTAAATAGTGTGATACTTTAAAAGTGTGAAAAATTATTTGATGTTAGTTTGTAGTTTGTTTGTTATTGGGGTTTTTTTTTGGGGGGGGGGGGGGGGCGGAGGAGTGATATGTGATATCAACATGTACGTGTATGATACATTCTTAACATACAAATTTAGTACCTTGATAACCTGCTGGATTTATGTAATAGACTTGTCAAGCATCCATTTTAGAACTGCTCATTTTCATTTTTGGGGGATATCAAGGTATAACTTTAAAATTGGTCAACTAAAAGTATAGAGCTTGGTCAGATTGCATAAAGATGAAGGCTTTACTTGGATCTAAACTTGTGAAAATTCCACTGGCAAAAAGCTAATCACTTTCTGTTCCAGCTGCGTATTGATAATCTGATTTAAGGGCAATTAATACACACATGCATCACCCACTTTATTGGAAAATTGTTTATAACAAACTTTTTTTTCAATTTAGGTTCTGTGATATTATATCAATTTTATTACAAGTAAAATATTTCCCAGATCCTGATTACAGAAAAGGAAAAATAGGTTTTAAAAAACACTTAATATTGAAAACAAAGAAACACAAAATATTTGTTCCATTTGGGTTCTTTTAATTAAGTTTAATACAAAATGAGTGCATGTAGAGGCTTTTTCATATTTTCTGCTTTATGATCTGGTAGCTTACTGTTTTTAACTTCAACTGACTGTAATATTACACCAAATAGACTGGTCAAAATAGATCAATATCCAGACAGATTCAGCACAAAATATATAACCCAGACTGAGCACAAAATCCTGATGAAAAAAAGCACATTGCTTACCATTATACACTGATATTCATGTAAAATTTCCATTTAGCCTCTGAAGTTGACCAATAATTTGTTTTACCATTTAACTAATACTGTTACTAAGTATTAGATATGAAGTAGAAAAAAAGAATCACAACAATTGTATACATTGTGAAACATCATTGATCAAGAATTGTAAATGGCATTATAAACAAAATGTTAAATACATTAATTTACTGAGAATTTTTAAGGTTTTTAATTTTTAATATTGCTTACAAGTTAAAAAGAATAGAAAAATTCTGTTTATAATTTTAATACAGTACTTTTAGACAATGGCCAAGTTGTTCAGAACTTTAATGACAAGATAACTGTTGTAATGTCTGCTATATAATAGTTACTGGACAAGCATGGGTAGAGAGATTAAACAATGCAGCCCTTGGTTTCTAAATCTATTTACTAATGATACTACAGAGAGGTGATACCAGGTGAATTTAGGGGGGCTTACAAATAGTATGATAATTGTGTAGCAGTTAAACCATGTTTTATATTAATCAAAATTATAAGGACAAACGAGGTTGAGTTTTTAGGGTTGTTGATTTCAAATACTTTACCCTCACGGCTGTAGGTTTTAATCCCACAAGGGATTCTGCGTTTTTTCATGTTATGAAGCTATCCAGCTAGCTTATGGAACGTCTGTAGTTATACTCATGTACCTGCTACTGCCTAAAATAATGCACGGAGGGGCACCTGAGGTCTGGCTGCACCATTTACATGTATGCTGGAAAGCTGCCCTATTGTGTATGTTTGAGGTAAAACCCAATGAAAAAAATTAAGGTCAATTGCACACACATAGCTGCTTTTTTCCCTAGCACACCTATTTAAAAAAAGGGAAGAAAAATGAACTTCTTTGGTGCTTAACTATGGAAAGCCATTGCAGGATTTATCATTATTGAAAATTTGCACCTTAACATAGACAATGTGGTAAGATTTTATTTTTAATACAGTTGTAAGCCAAAAGATATTTTAGTACCTGTGGGAAACCCTATGGTGTGTCAGACGTCAGTAAATGCGTTGAGGGATACGTACGTTGAATGCTGTTATGAAGACATGTGTAACATGAAGCTGAAACCCACTATAGCCCCACCTCTCCCTGTTAAAGGTAAGCTCGAACATTTTATGTACATTGTGTATACCGATTGTTTCATGTCAATGTCTTTTCCAGATATTGGGCCTCTGGCTTAAGATGGAAGAAAATTATGCAACATTTTGCACAAGAAGTTCTGAAAAAAGTTGAAATATAAACTTGCATGAGTCTGTCTTTTTAAGTTTTGTTCACATGTTTGATCATGTAGCCTGTCACTTATTGTTAAGTAACAAGTAAACACATGAACACAGTTTTAATGTATTGCTACACTTGATAATGTATATTTGTAGTCTGTGTACATGTTAAGCTGGTGAAATATTCTTGTTTCATGTTTTTAGATACTGTTTAACTTTCATTCTGCTGAAAATTGTAAAGTTAGGTGTTAATGAACTTGGTGTGCTTTGAATTTTGAAATGTCTGTTCATAGAGCTGCATGCCTCCAGATGAGCCAAAATATTTCATGAGACTCAAATTTGAGAAAGATGTACAGTGTGAGAAAAATGTACTAAGATTTTAAGAAGTGTAAATAGGTTGAAGTTTCAAGTAATAATAATTTACATGTTATGTGCGATTAATGAATGATTTTGCAGTATTTATTATAATTTACATGTTATGTGCACCATAATTCTACTGTGGGGTTACTTTTTTTGCAATTTTTGCATATTTTGACTTTTAAAATATGTTTTGAAAATTTTCATGAAAATTAATATGAATCTGGAGGCATGCTGCTTTAAAAGGATTTCAGTATCAAAAGAAAAAAAGAATAAAAAAAAGGGAAAGTTTGAAAACTAAGGGGAAGTTTTTAGACATATGGAAAAAATTGAAGACTTAATGAAAAGTTTGAAGACCAGAGAAGATTGGAGACTTTAGGAAAAGTTTGAAGACTAGGGAAGATTGGAGACTTTGTAAATAAATTAAAACTGAAGGAAAAAAATTAAGACTTAAGGAAAAGTAAATAATCTGGGAATAGTTAGTCTATAGAACAAATTTTAAGACTAAGGGAAAAGTTTGAAGACTTTAAGTATAAGTTTGAAGACTTAGGGAAGAGTTACTGTTGATCAGTAAACGGACAGGTCATATCAACTAGTTTTACACATTAGTTAAATTTTGTTGATAATATTGATAATATATATGAATGTTTTGAATGGGCAACAATTTGCTATTTCATGTTTGCAGTAACTTTAAAAGTTGACTTTCTTTCTTGTTTCAGTTTAAATTTGCAACATATAGCTGGTGATAAGAAATCCTTTAAATGAGCACTTAAACAAATTGAAATAAAAGTATTTCCCTTAAACACAAAAGAGCATTATTCCTGCACATGTTATCTTCCCTTTATAAAGAAAAGCTTTAAAATCCCTCATGCAAGACACATATGACTAGAGTATATTATATGTACACCTCTTATCACAACACTGCCTTCAAATTACTGAACTTTGTATGAGATTTAAATGTAAATTTGAAATTTGATATTTTTCTTCCTTAAACCTGGTTTTCTGTTATTATACTATATTTGGTGAATGTTGACTGATAAATGTTAACTGGGCAGAGATATAAATTAAATTTACACAGAATAGTTGCCATCATGTACCCTGTAACATGTTATAATTTTTTGATTTGATCATGCTTGTAGAATTGTAGCACAACTTTTTGGGATGATAATGGTTTATGAATTTTTATTGAAAATATTTAATACAATTTTCATTGGGTAGTAATGATATCAGATTTCTTTTTCATGAACCATTAAAAATGTTTCATTACCTTGTAAACAATATTTTAATTTCTAGCCCAAAATTAGTATCGGTAGAAAGTCTTGTTTTATTGACACATTTAAGTCTAAAACTGTAAATTTACAGACTGTAAATTTTTCAATATGTAAGTTGACAGCCTTAAAATTGGTAAGAATGTTAATGAAATGGTATGAATATTCAAAACTAATGGATGAAATGAATAAAATTGTTATTTTTGTATGAATAAATAGAAATGACTGGTAAGCTAGGAACTATTTTGATGATTTTAGAAAATTAACACAGCCTTATTAATAAAGTCTTCAGAATTGCTCGAAACTCACATTTAACTCATCAATAATTTAAATTTTTCATCTTAAGTTACAAGTTTTTAGTTTAAGTATAATTTTAACAAGTTCTATACTGAATGGATTAAAAATCTTTTAAATTTCTGGTGTCTACTACTTAACTTGACTGCTTGTACTTTAATGAAATTCTAGACTTATTATATTTTGTAATTTTTAAAATAACCAGTGTACAGGAACAATGTGAATGTCGTGTTCAATGACTTGTTTATAAAGGTACTTATGATTTAATGGTAAAAATACAAAGATACTTATGATTTAATGGTAAAAATACAAAGTACATGTACAATATTAGAGTACATTATGGAAGGAAATTATAGTGTTAATGAGTGGCCGCATGATTGAGTAGTTAATTTATCAAACTAGAAACCTAAGGATCTCTTGCCTTTGTGGGTTCAAACCCTGTCAGGTGTAATCCATTGTTTCCTTGAGCAAGAAACTTTACCGTAATTTGTCAGTACAGGTTGGTTCTAGGAATGGATTCATAGGTTTGCATGTAAGCTTATGGCTTCCTACACAATCTAAAATGAAATCTATATATAATAATAAATAAACATATGAATTCTATTTAATGATAAACCTAACTGATATTTCAGAAAAAGAAGACAACAGTAAGACAGAGCTTGGAATATGGGAGTTGGTTGCTATAACAGCTGGACCGGTTGTTCTGCTGTGTGTGGTGTTTGTGTTCATCTTCATAATGTACCACAGATACCAGCACAAAAAACAGACTCAGTTCCATCCGGTAGAGCCGAATCCGATCGATACCCCGTTGCTACCGGACGGACAACCGAGCACCCTGACAGAGATGATGATGGACTACTCTGGGTCTGGTTCAGGTACAAGTCTTCTAATCATTGAAGTTTCCTCGTTTATATTGTGTTCTTTTAACATTGAACTTATTAAATTTAATTACATTTTTGTCTTTATAGACTATCCCAAACAGTGATTTTATCGCTGAATGAAATCACTGTTTGGAGATTGGATGCTAGAAATACGCCCTCGTGATATTATGATGCCCATCCGATGGCTTGAAATATATATTATTTCAATTCTAACACAACATCAACAATGAATACTGCCATACATGATATCAAGCTAAATTGCACCTGATCTTGTTTCCGTACTAAATTTCAGCGCATTGTGTCAGGATTATAATTTTCATATTAGTTACCAAGCAAGTACATGTAGATTGCCTGGGATTTAAATATAATATATACATTTTTTGACATGCATGTTTTGTAAGACTTGTTCTTATGAACAAATCAATTGCAAATAAACCCCAATATACTGTTAATTTAGTCTATAATTCAGCACACATTTCTATTTATGGAATAGTTTTACCAGAGACTGTAATTCACATCACATTTCTATTTATGGAATAGGTTTACCGTTGTTGGTTCAGAGAACAATTGCCCGACAGATACAGTTGGTGGAAATCCTGGGTAAGGGTAGATATGGTGAAGTGTGGATGGGCAAGTGGAAAGGTGAGAGTGTGGCGGTGAAGATATTTTCATCACGTGATGAGAGGTCATGGTTCCGTGAGGCGGAAATTTACCAGACAGTGATGTTACGACATGACAACATACTTGGATTCATTGCAGCTGACAATAAAGGTAATATTATATTATTGTTAAAAGATATAAGCGGAAATATTTCAATAAAATTTAAAAACTGTTATGTTTAGTTTCTTTCCGTAATCCAATGGCCGATTCTTAATCCTCAAAAAAAGTTGTAGCATAGAATGTTTGTTATTAATACACATGAAAACTGTACTTATACAGAATAAAATGTTCCAGAGCAAAATTTTCTTGCATTTGCTTTCTCTCAAAGGGAAATTGCCAACTTATTTCTTTTATATTCAGGCACTTTGGAAATATGTCTTTTATATTCAGGCAATTTTGGATTGTTTTTTTCAACATTAAAAATTAAATTGAAGTGGCAGCATGGCCAAGTGTAGTAATCTAATGATCTGTAGCCACATGGGTTGGGGCAAGTTGTTCCCTTGAGCAAGAAACTTAACACTCATTGCTCAGTACTGCTTGGTTCCAGGAACAGATTCAAAGTGTGTCTATAAGCTTAAAACTTCCTACACAATCAAACTAAGATAAATTCTGTATAAACCAAAATACCACTTGCCCCTCACCGCTGTGGGTTCGAATCCCGGCAGGGACTTTGGATTCTTTCATGTGAGGAAGCTATCCAGCTAGCTTACGGAACGTCGGTGGTTCTACTCAGGTGCCAATTCGTGCCTGAAATAATGCACGGAAGGGCACCTGAGGTCTTCTTCCACCAGTAAAGCTGGAACGTTGCGATATGACCTATACTGTGTCGATGTGATGTAAAACCCAAAATAAATAAATAAGTATAAACCAAAATGAAAACAAATAATTTTTTAAGCTGAAAGAAGTAGAGATAGAGACATATAAAACAATGATAATAATTTATTTAGAATTTTCAATATCATGTGGATAAGCATGTAAATGTTTATTTATTTGATTAACAGATAATGGTACATGGACACAGTTATGGTTAGTGACGGATCACCATGAGCATGGTTCACTGTACGACTACCTGAACCGGACACCGGTCAGCCCTCAAGCCATGGTCAAAATGTCCATGTCTATAGCCTGTGGTCTGGCTCACTTGCATACAGAAATCATGGGCACTCAAGGTAAGTGTATAAGGATCATAAACCAGACCAGAATATCACAAGGGTAGCTGTTTATGGCAGTTTAGAGGATCTATAGGGTGTTTGATTCTTTCTCTTGCATATCATGTATAAGTCATATTCCGCAAAGGAATTACTAATCACTAGCACCTTTGTCATGTTGTAGCATATGAATTTACAATTCATTTATTAAGATTAAATGGTGTCATCCTAGGCACACAGTTTATTCATAAAAGGCGCACAGGAATGGCATCACTTGAACTTGTGACTTGTCTTTCACAGGGGTCTAAAATGATTTTTTTCTAACCAGTGTAAATAGAAAAAAATCATGTCTGAATTCTCAAGAAAACTTTTACTTTAATAAGAAGGATTTCACCAATGACAAAGGTTTTTCAATAATGGTTATCTTTTGCAATAAACTGTAGCTTTTAAAGTGGGAACATTTCTCATAAAAAGTCTTATATACCAAAAAAGTTGATCTTTGTGGAGATAATCCTGATTTTGGGTAATTTTCAAGATTCCACAGTTCATCATTATAAAGTTTATTCCAATAATAAAAAAGAATTATTCTCAATGCTGATGATTAATGTCCATATTATGATTTTTGAGGAACTGTCTCAGGACATATAATGGTTTTCTTGATAATCCAGTGTTAAGCTGAACAAATATATCACATATGGTTTTGTGCTTTGTCAGAGATGACTCTACAATATTTGTTAATTTTCATTCTCTTTCAGGAAAGCCGGCTATTGCACACAGAGATCTAAAAAGTAAAAATATCTTAGTGAAAAATAATGGGCAGTGTTGCATTGCAGATTTAGGTAAGTGTAATTTTTCAGTTTTGTAAACTATTTTACTTGCTTTTGATTAACAGAAAAATAAAACTTTAATTATGTCAAATAACATTTTTATTGATTTTGATTGACAGAAAAATAAAACTTGCTTTATGTCAAATGCAAGCTAGTTTGTTAGTAGTCATTTATGGCATTCAACGTCACTTATGGCATTTTGGTTTAGCTGTCAGTTTTGTCTTTATAACCACAAAGGGGTTAGTCACTGAAAACTTAACAAGTGTCTTCTTGTAAAGAATAATGTCACTCTCTTATAACCAAAAACCATGACTCCAGCATACTTATATGGATTATTTCTCTTTGTAAGTTGAACACTTTCTGCTTTTGAAATTAAACTTTTTGTTTTTGAATTAAAAAAATCAAGCCATGAAAGCAGTAAAGTCCATGGGACAGCTCTTGATGTTTTATTTTTAACATGAACAATAAGTGGATAATTAGAAGATATACATGGCACAGAAATTTATTTTTACATATTATCACCTGTTCCATTATAAGTCAGGGTCTTGTTCAAACTTAAACATTTTTTTAAAACCAAAGTAGAATGAAAATGTATTAAATAGTTTCATTTCTCTCGAGTGATACCAAATGTTTTGAGAACATGTAATTTTAGGTTTGGCCGTTCGTCATGATTCAGCCAAAGATGCCGTAGACATTGCTCCAAATAATCGTGTCGGCACAAAACGTTACATGGCGCCGGAAGTCCTAGATGAAACTATCAACATGAATCACTTCGAGTCTTTCAAGAGGGCTGATGTATACTCGTTTGGTTTAGTATTGTGGGAGATAGCCAGAAGATGTTCAATCGGAGGTAAATAAGTTACCTATATACTTTATTGATATGATATACACCTAAGCACAATCTAAATATAGTTCTGAATGGACAGAATTAAAATGCAAAATGTGTCCAAGATATCGCAGTATGTATCAGATATTAGTTTAAAAATATTTATATAATCTCAATTGCAAGAAAAGTTCTTGCAACTTAAATTAATCACTTTCTTGTCCGCTTCCTGGAACTTACCAGTACTGGTGTCAAATGAACATATGGTTGTGACCCAGTTAGGGCTCGAACCCATGATCCCTGGGTTGAGAGGCAGACACCTTAACCACTAGGCCACAGCTCCCGTTTATCGGACATTGTAAGCATATGAAATAAAGGACTGCAGTTGAGACTGCAGGAATAGCATTGTTATCAAATTATGCAATATTGTTATAAATAGAGTTTACTGTTATATATAAGGATTATCCAGGTATAAATAAATCCATTATTCCGGTATATAGTAGGATTATTCAGGTATAATTAAATCCACTATTCAGGTATATTTGAGGATTATTCAGGTATAACTAAATCCATTATTCAGGTATATTTTAGGATTATTCACATATAAATATATCTATTATTCAGGTATATTTGAGGATTATTCAGGTATAAATATATCCATTATTCAGGTATATTTGAGGATTATTCTGGTATTAATATATCTATTATTCAGGTATATTTGAGGATTATTCAGGTATAAATATATCTATTATTCAGGTATATTTGAGGATTATTCAGGTATTACTATATCCATTATTCAGGTATATTTGAGGATTATTCAGGTATTACTATATCTATTATTCAGGTATATTTAAGGATTATTCAGGTATTACTATATCTATTATTCAGGTATATTTGAGGATTATTCAGGTATTACTATATCTATTATTCAGGTATATTTGAGGATTATTCAGGTATTACTATATCTATTATTCAGGTATATTTGAGTATTATTCAGGTATTACTATATCTATTATTCAGGTATATTTGAGTATTATTCAGGTATTACTATATCTATTATTCAGGTATATTTAAGGATTATTCAGGTATTACTATATCTATTATTCAGGTATATTTGAGGATTATCAGCAGCCATATTACAACATGGTACCTCCAGATCCATATTTGGATGAGATGAAGAAGGTTGTGTGTACTGAGAAACGTCGACCTGACATACCTAATAGATGGCAGGGACAAGAGGTATTTTATGTTCTTCCCAGTTGTGGTTCAGTTGTAATAAATGTTTGGTAGCTACAGATTCTGTAAATTTGTCATGTTTCAGGGTAGCTACAGATTCTGTAAATTTGTCATTGCTTCAGATTTATTAGAAATTGAGTTGTTCCAGATTTTTCAAGTTTTACATAGCTTCAATTTAGTTAAATTTGGTGGTTCCAGATTTTGCATATTTTTCATAGCTTCAGTTGAAGTTCAAATTTGATGGTTCGTGATTTTCTTAATTTTTAATAGCTTCAGATTTAATTAAAATGTGATAGTTCTCTATTTTGTTAAAACTTTTTTTACATACATATATTTTACATACATATATTGAGAGCTCCAGATTTCATTGAAATTTGATAGTTCCAGATTTTGCTACCAATTAAAATCCATCAATTGGAAATACTTATTTGAGAACATAAATGGATGTCATTTTCCAAGACCCATAACTCTAACATGGATTTTGACAGTATTATGGTCCTTTTTCAACTTCAAAAATCTTACATTACCAAGGCTTGTGTTTTACTATAGTCAATCCCACTGTCCTACCAACGGCTCTTAGTTTTAGAAATGTTTTGATCAGTTTGTCAAAAAATTTATTTTCAGGACTTTTAAGTTATTTTTTTGTTATAAAAAGAAGACATATTCATTATGTTTGTTGAAGGCTTTGCTTTGTGACAGGTTAACATTTTGTAAATGTGTATTACAGGCATTGAGGGTCATGGCTAGAATCATGAAAGAATGCTGGTACCACAATGCTGCAGCTCGACTCACAGCGTTACGTATCAAAAAGACACTAAGCAGCCTCAATACACAGAGTGACGTTAAACTGATGGTCGAGACTGGTCTTGAGCCTGTTTAAATACCTCCACTTACTCTTATCTTCTTGTTATAATGTTGCCATTAAGTCGAAATTTTTGTGGTGTTGTGTACAGTTACCATGGAAACATGACATGGAAAATATACCATGGAATCGGTGATTAATTGTTTCCATGACAACAGTGATTATGTGTTTCCATGGAAACAGTGAATTGTTCTATCCATGAAAACACTGTCCATGGAAACACCATTAAATAGTAATTTAGTGTATCCATGGAAATGGTGAATTTAGTATATCCATGGAATTAGTGACTTGGTGTATCCATGGAAACAGTGATTATTTTTTTTTAGTATATCCATGGAAACATTGATTTTGGTGTATCCATGAAAAAAGTGACTTGGTGTATCCATGGAAACAGTGACTTAGTGTATCCATGGAAACAGTGATTCTGATGTATCCATGGAAATTGTGACTTAGTGTATTCATGGCAAAAGTGATGAGAACAGCGATTTAGCTAATTCTTTGAAACACCGATTTAGTTACTATGTCGACAATATTATAAAAGGGCTTTGGAAATCAGAGTTTTATTACCACAGTAATTACCATAGTAACACTTATTTGTTTGTTTTTTTTTATAGAATCACTGTTGATTTAACATTGATTAAGTTTAAACTTTTGTGGATATTTGCAAATAAATAATCCATTTAACATTTACTTTTTGTTGCTGATACGGAAGGCATAAAATATTTTAGGAAATGAGCAATTTGAAATTCTAACAAAAAGAAAGAATTTTGAACTTTGAAGATCACAAATTTTATGATAATGTTTTTGTTAGGACATCTGCAATTTGTAAAACCCCTTTCAGATTGATATTTAAGTTAAAGATATGTGTTAAACCCCTTAAATTTGAAAAATGAAAATTACCTATGTGAATATTTTAGTCCTTATTAAAGGGTATGAAGCTATATCAATGAAATATTTTTGTAAAATGTAACGGTGAAATTATGTTGTTTCCATTGTTGTAAGATAGAATGTCTCTGTTATTAAAATACATGAAAATTGTACATAAACAGAATACAGTGTTTCGGAAGAAAATATTATTCTGCTATTTTAAGTAGAATTTTTACCATTTAGCACATAGATTCAGTTTCAAGAATATAAATATCTGTCATATTTGCGGTTGGGATTGGAATATCTGTCCCGAGGTGACCCACCCATTGGACGATAACAAGGCTTGCCGAGTTACCGCCCATGGGCAGGTGGCTGAGGGATGGATATTCCAATCCGAACCGCAAACACATGTCAGATATTTTTTCTTGCATATTCTACCATATTCCATTACATTTTAAATTCTTTATCTTTAATTATAATGGAAATTTATATCATTACAACCGTAACTACTTTCTTACAACAGCGTATGAATTACAACTTCATTCATAACGGTAAAATGACGTCATCCTACGCGTGCCATTGTACAGCACGCGACTCATCTGGCACGCCCCATGCCAGATGAAATTTCCGGCATGGGTAAAATTCACGGAAATGCCAGTCTGATATGCAAGAAATAAAATTCTGCTATTATAAGTTATATTTTTACCATTAAGTACATGATACAATCAGTTTTAATGAATAAACAAACATATTTCTTTCATGTAGATATTTTAGGTTTAGAATCATTCTTTTTGTTAAAATTCAGACAATTGTTTATTATCTACAGGCATCAGTTTTATAGCTTTATACACTTTTCTTTAAAAGGACATATCTGTGGGGTGGGGGGAAAGGGCGGGGTTGTTCTGTAAGTGTAGTCATAATTTACAAGATTAAAATGGTAATAAAGATCAGGTTTTGTTCGGACATACACTGCTATATTAAGGATACAAGTAATTTACCTCTCAACAGTTTTGTTGTACATTTTTACCTCGTCTGTTTCGATGAAAAAGTCGAGATATTATTTTCGTTGCGTCGTCGTTAATGTAACATTGTCATTGTGATGCAAGAGCTTTAATGAAGCCCGTTATTCAAACATTTTAAAAGGTATCATCACAAAAGTTTGCATTTCTGCAATTCGTGACAAGATGCAGTTGCAAAACAAGGGAAATGATTCTGGAAATAATAGTTTTGGAGTTATGTCCCTTTTTGATTAAAATTTTTTGCTAAAATTGTTTATTGATAGTCTATGTTGCTAACAGACGGGTGTTAATGCCACATGCGGTTGGTCCTCTTGTTTCTAGGTCATAGACATAATATGTATATATAATATAAACTGTTTGGCCTTGGATAAACTGGTATTCATGTATTTGATGTATATATTTATTATTTTGAGATATCTTGACATAGGTTTGTATGTGTGTGATAATAAGTTTTATAAGTGGAATTATGTAGAAAATGTGTCATTAAAGTGGTTAACTGGGAGTACTGATGTACTTGTTATCCAGGGCTAGAGTTTAACACTCGTATACTTCGCATTGTAATATTAGTAATTGAAATATAAATGAGGAGTTATTTTATATCAACTGCAGAACATAACCATCTACGTAACTTAAATAATAATGATTTTTTAAAGTTTTTCTGAAACAGGTCTCTGTCTAACGATCTGGTAAGCATGATAGGTAGAGCATTGGGCTGTGAAAAGGGTGCTAAGGTTCGTTTCCTGGATGGCGCAGGTCACTTTTGTAGTGATTGATAATGATATCCTTTCTATGGTCATTCACACTGTACCTTTGCTCTGGCAATCAATTGTGAAAGTGAAAGCTCTAGTACTGGTTAACTGCTTGACTGCCTGCCCAGAATTGAAGTGGTGGTGGAACTGTTGTCTGTGAATTCAAGTGGCTTACTTCTGTGATCCGGAAGATAAATTGCCGACACAATTGCCACTGGGTCTGTCTCTGTCCCTTTATGATTGTTTTAGTTGTAAATAATATAAATTAGGGAGATGCACAAGCCAAATTATAAATTAAAAAAAAAATTGTATAGTCGCATGCACATGTCTGAAAAAAGAGATAAGAGACTGTCTTATGTTATCTTGTCATGTTGTCATGTGTTTAAATCCAAGAACTACTTATTAACATGTATATTCTAAAAATAAAATAACCCTTACACTGCTTTGGACAAAAAGTGAGCTGTCGTTGATACTTGCGTAAATCTGAAATAAATCTGGCCGTTGGGCTAAGGTGTTCAGTCTGACTATTATCTGTACTGACTGAAGCTCAGTTCTATAGATATGTACTTTGCTCATCCTCGTGTTAAATACTTTTATTGTAGAAATTTATTAAAATCTAGGAAATTCTTTACTGCATTTGTCTAATTTGAATAAGGGACTGCACAAACTATGTTCGGGAAGCTGAAAAATACCTATAATGGGTCAAGTTGATTTGGTCCGTCCATAAAAACCTGCCAGTGTTTTTGTTTGTGCCAGTTTTTTGTTTGTTTTCTTATGACACTCTGTATTCATGCTGTGTTTACCTATATATAAAGTGTAGAGTTTAAAACATAACATATCTTCTCTGTGTTTACTCAAAACATGTTTATTTTACAATTTAAGAAATGAATAGCAATTACCAGTATTTTCAAATATCAAATTGCAGCTTAATATATATTTAATATAGAAATCATTTTACTTCAAAATGGCCTGTTAATATAATATATTATTTGAAGCACAATTTGGATCCATTACACAAAATCAGCAGGTTACGGGTGATGATTTCTTGTTCACGTTGTTGCAAAAAATCGCAAGTGCGAGAAAACGTTAAATTCTAGCCCTGGTTAAACAATTGAGTGTGTTATACGGAACTCGGGAAATGTGGGTTTTTCCAAGCTAATCTCCTGGTAACATTTACCATTATAGCTTCACGAGGCACTACCGGCCAGAATAGATTAGTTAAGCTGTTGTACTTATTTTCGAAAGCTGTAACTGTAAAAGTTCGTTTGTTTCCCCAGGATTAGCTTGAAAAATCCCAAAATATTCTTTATTCTGGAGTATGTCAATTGAGTGTATTACACGAGTTATTGCATGATGGGTAATGAATCGTTACACTTGGAGACCCATAGCTCTATATACCTCTATCATGTCATAATCATTGTAGGTTAAATTTGTCACATTATGTGTAAAAAAAAAAAGACTTGTGTGTTGCCATAGATACTGTTTTGAATGACATTTTACCATGTTTTTATTCCATTTGTGTTGATTATGTTGCTTTTATCAGGGATATAATTTAACAGCCGCCCAGTGGCCAGTGACGACTAAAATTGACAGTGGGCGAACAAAATTTTTATCAGATAATTGCCACAGCTGGCAGATTCAAGTTTACCAATGTTTTGATTTTCCACAATGTGTCATTGGGTTTTTCTCCTACCCTTGTTGCATTTCTCCAAAAGTAGCACAGTTTAAAAGGGATATATATCCGGTATGTTATCTGGACATCTCCTGCACGTCAAAAGATTTATAACTAAATTTTTCATCAGCAGTTGCAAGACTTTGGCTAAGTTGTCGCTTTGTTTATTCAATTAAAAACAGATGTGGCATTTCATTGAGGGAGTTGAGACTGAATATATTTTTGAAAATATGTTTATTAACTTTATTTTGATGTATTCATAATATATTTTTTGAATTATGAAGAATAAATAAGTTAAATGATGAATAAAAAAGTTGGAGAATGCAAACAAAATTTATATTGGGGCTAATTTATTTTATTACATGCTTTTCGGTGGTTTATAGAAATATATCAGTGATTTAAAACTGGTAATTTCACTGTTTGAAACAGTGAAATTACCACTTTGATAATTTCACTGTTTTGAATTTAAGCCCCTTACGTTGTTTCAGTGAAATACCAGCGTGCACAGAACTGGGTACCAACTTAATGACGTGACGTCATAAATGACGTCACGTTTTATTATTATTTGGCGCGCTTTTCATTCAGTATTAGGTTTAATGTCTTTTTAAAACGTTTCTTTGCATATAATAAAAAGAAAATTTGTTTAGTTTAGTGTAAGATAGAAATATATTTCACCTTGTGAACACCAAAAGTTCATATTTCACTCGTGGCTGCGCCACTCGTGAAATATACCTTTTGGTGCTCACTCGGTGAAATATATTCCGATCTTACACTGAACTAAACAAATATCCTCTATTTAAATTTAGTACAGAAAATAAATGAGCCACGGATGGCTAACTGAATTTTATGAAAAATAAATATGTGGAATGAAGAATAGAGAAGTTAAAGGAAGAAAAAAAGTTAAATGAAAGACAAATAAGGTAAAGAATGTAAACATACTATAATTAAGAACTGGGCTTATAGATTTTAAAAGTTGGGTTTCTTGTTTACAAAATTTATTAGCTGCGACTTGCTAACTAAATTTCAGTGTTATTTTATATCCCTGTTTTATGAACAATTGTCTAGTATTCAAAATACACCAATCATGTCGTATCATTGTTATAAACGTCGTCATGTTTGTAGTTTTCGTGCTTATAAAGTACATGTGTAGGTTTTACTTGCATATATGGGCAAATTAAAAGAGTACTTTAGTATATATTGTATCAGTATAGTTAAATATTTTGAGTGAAATTTTTTTTAAATTTTGTTTTTATTTTTTGTTTTGTTTTGTTTTTTGTTGGCTTTTGTTTTTAATAATGATGCTATCCAACTCGCATACAGATACTGAATATCCATGTAACATCTGTTTCAAGGTTTTGCATGTAACTTCTAATCTTAGTATTTTTACAATATATTCATTTAGAAAATTCCTACTAAAAGTAAGGCTTGGCGTGCAAAAATCAATGTTACAAAGTAATAATAAAGAAACAAAAGCAACAGTGACAAAAGAAACGTCACGGTTTCATATAAGCTGTTTAACTGAAAATAAGAATTAAAGTTTTTTTCGTGTTTTTTTTTTAAAGCTTTTCTCTCACTTATTTTACGAATGTTTACGATTATATTGTCATAAGTAGAGGATATTGAATGAGTGTAAGTTCAAAACTAAATTTATTGAACATGTTGAAAAAAAATTTATTATGTGACATAATTAAGGGCTTTACTGTATACCATTACAAATATTTTTGTGATTTATTTTTTTTGCTTTATTTTTAGAAATGACTTGATTGTTTAAAGAAAGGAAAGGGAAACAAATAATGAACAATCTAAATTTTCTCCGAGATAGTTTGAACCTGGAGATGTGCTGACGAGTTAAGAATTTTCAAGGGGCATAACTCCATATTTCATTATTTCATATAAAGTATACATATGTACTTGAATATTTTAGTTTTTACTAGTATATCAGTAAATAAAGTCAAGTGAAGGAAATATACATGTGTAAAAGTTAGAAAACTGCTAGGTAGCTAGTGAAATATACAGAAATACTCTAAGTACATAATTATATTCCTTGTAAAAAAAACAAGTCTGTTAAAATTTTTAAGGAACTTTTTCTTAAATGATTATAATACATGTATTCATTTTATAATATCTGTTGTTATGTTGCCTTCATTCATTTATCTATGTACGCTTATTTTGTTATAAGAATTGCTTAATATTTTTAAATTCATGCAGAAACATGGCTTTCAATACGGCATGATTGTAACATCAATTTTCATTGGATAATTTTTGCGACACACACTTGTATAGTATTTCCATACACATCTGCTGCAAATTTATTTATTATTTTCTCTTTTTTTATTAATCAAAGAAAGTAGTTGTGCAGTATTACAAATTACATTTTTTAGAAAATAACTATTTTTGACAGGTTTATATGGTTATGTACAAACAGTTGTTTACTGACAGGTTATATGGTTGTTCTATCTATCTTTCATTAATGTCAAACCCTTCCTGGGGACATAGGCAGAACTCTACAGCTTACAGACATCTATGAGATACAAGTAAATCTGGGAACCAGTCCTTAGCTCTTATTGAAAAGACCCCTTGGTTGTTTTACATGCCCAGTGTATAGCACTGATACATGCAAGGATTACCTGGATTTCTTACCAGTAAACCTCTAGTTTGGTGGGAAACACTGAAAGTGTCTCTGAAAAATCCCAATGGTGTTACCCAGGATTGAACCCTGGACCTCAGGAGTGACAGCCAGTGGTCTAACCAACTGAGCTATTGTGTTGTTTGCTTGGTATATACATGTAAACTTCCATTCGTTTATACTGGGCCATATGCCTGTCAAAAATTGTATTACTAATATCATGCTCCCTGTTTAAGTAGCCATAGATTTGTTGATTATTTTTTCATGCACTTGACACTTTAACATTTTGCTACATCTTATATCATGAATAAAACTTTCAGAAGCTTTCTTTATCGTTTAGTTTTATCACATCTAATGTATATCTATCTTAGGTATTCAAATCTCTGAAACACATTCATCACTTACAGACACATCTGTTTATAAGATCACTGACGGACACATCTCGTAAATATAAGGTTAAAAGATCACTAACGGACACATCTCGTAAATATAAGGTTATAAGATCACTAAAGGACACATTTCGTAAATATAAGGTTATAAGATCACTAACGGACACATCTCGTATATTTAAGGTTATAAGATCACTAACGGACACATTTTGTGTATAGATACTATAGAAGGTTATAAAATCATTAACAGACACATCATGTGAGTAAACGATGATGAAAATCACTAACGGACACATCTCATGGAGATCACTAACGGACACATCTCGTGTACAGAGTTATAAGATCACTAACGGATACATCTCCTGTACAGAAAGTTATGAGATCACTAACGGACACATCTCGTGTACAGAGTTATAAGATCACTAACAGACGCATCTTGTGTACAGAAGGTCATAAGATCACTAACGGACACATTTTGTGTAAAGAAGGTTATAAGATCACTAAAGGATTCGCCTCGTGTATATTAGGTTTTAAGATTACTGAATGCCACATCTTGTGTAGAAAAAAATTAAAAATCACTAAAGGACGCATCGCTGTATAATGGATCTTAAGATCATTAGCAGACTGATCTCATGTGTAAAAGATTATAAAATCACTTACGGACACATCTACATCTCGTGTATAGAAGGTTATAAGATCACTAAGGACCCATTTCGTATAAATATGTATTAAGATCACTTCCGGACACATCTCGTGTATAGGAGGTTATTAGGTCACTAACGGACACATTTCGTGTATAATACGTTTTAAGATCACTAACGGACACATCTCGTGTATAGGAGGTTATAAGGTCACTAACGGACACATTTCGTGTATAATACGTTTTAAGATCACTAACGGACACATCTCGTGTATAGGAGGTTATAAGGTCACTAACGGACACATTTCGTGTATAATACGTTTTAAGGTCACTAACGGACACATCTTGTGTGTAGGAGCGGACACATTTCGTGTATTTAAGATCACTAACGGACACATCTCGTGTATAGAAGGTTATAAGATCACTAGCGGACACATCTCGTGTGTAGGAGCGGACACATTTCGTGTATTTAAGATCACTAACGGTCACATCTCGTGTATAGAAGGTTATAAGATCACTAACGGACACATCTCGTGTATATATATATAAGATTTCAAGATATTGGTTATGTTGTCATGACCGTTGACATGTGCGTCAATGCCACTGTCACAGATTTGGTTAAGTTTTCTGTATCACTTCAAGCACCGAGAGTAGGGGAGCGCGTTGTCTTGCTGTTGCATCATTTTACTATATATATTAAAGACGACCAATGCCTCGGTAATGAATATTTTTTTCATTATGCAGAAAATACAAATATGTGTTAAAATAATTTTTAATAACCGATTTTAAACATACAAGATAATAATATCTTTATATAGAAATGGCAACACAATAAGTATACATAACAGATGTCATATATATCTTATGAGATGCTCATCTTTGAATAAAGAAAAAACGCTCAAAGTTGCACTTTTGTGATGGCGTTTTGTCCAGCCTACAATCCTCATGGTCGTACGCCCATGCATTGCAAATGTTATAAACAGAGAACTTTTAACAGAACAAAACATCACAATGAGATTCGTTCTGTAAGAAAAGAATAATCGAGTATTGGACCTTTCTACAACGAAAGAAAATAATTGGCTGGGCCTTTGTTTCCGCGCTCGTCGTCCACATTTTTTTTTTCAAATGACGTTTTCTCCGTAACCAACTGGTCAAACTCGAGTGTGGTTTAAATAAGTAACAAACTTTTTTCAAAGATCGAGATCAAATAAATGGCGAGTACACAGTTACGCTAACGAACCAGATAGCTGTTCTTTATACGCTCAACCCTGTGCGAATAAGTTTCGTGTACAACCAGTTATCGAAAGAAGTTCATTTGTCTAACATGTATTACCCCGATCTTATATATCAAGTTTTATCTATTTCTCCGGAGGTAATTTCCAAATATGAATCATTTCAAGAAAAATGAAATGAAGCATTAGACAAACTGCCTTAAAATTGCCATGGAAAATGATGATTGTACAACAGCAGTTAATCGGACGCTTATTAAAATTATAAATTTATTGAAAAAAACGAAACTGAAGTAAATTTTATGGAACGAGATCATTAATTTCTATTAAATTGATTGTAAAGTACATGTATACATGTATATTACTATTTTTACTTTAGTCATAAAAATATCGGTTATCATTTGATGATAATATTTTTTTCTAAAAATTTAAATTTAAACCACAATAACATTGCAATGAATATCCTGATTTTTTCTTTGAAAAAAAAATTATGTTCTTGGAGTTACTTTATTACTGTTATTTCGTTTTAAACGTATGCATGTACATAATTCAAGTAGCGCTATATATTGTTTCTCTGATTTAGCTGATATCGTGTGTTTATTTACTGTATTCCTAGAAATTTTCGCGGATACAATATGCGTTTTTCAGAACGTCGGCATTTTCGCGGAGACAAACTTTCGCGGATTTGTAGTTACCGCGAATTCCGCGAATATTAAGTAATACCCGCTTTGATATCTCGAAGGTACATTTAATAGATTTTGTTACTCTATTAACTTCCTCGTCGTTTAGTTTTTCCAGCAAGTTACTTGCTAGTAAAATCTTAACACGTGTTTTACCGCTTTTATATTTGTTATGCATGTGCATGTATATCACATCATTATATAACTATACGTGTAAAATCAAATGGTATAATTTTAGATTGGCATTCACAGCTTATTCTTTGTACATGTACATTTGTATCTGAAACATAATATAATGTCACAGTTAATAGTATCAGGTTTTTTTTCTACCTATTTTTATCATTATTTAATAGAATGTTAATTCAAGAACTTTTAAGTAGAAGAGAAAATTATAGTCATTTTAAGGAACGTGCATGTAAAGTATGCAAGAAAGATTTTGTAAATCTAGGTAACCTTTTGTTAACAGCTCAATAAATGAGAGTTACACTTTTTTCTAAATTTCTGTTATTTTGTGGGCATTACACATGTAAAGAGCTATTTATGCTCCGCTCCGTTGCTATGCAAAACATAATTTTCTAGGACTTGCACAATTCATGCGCACTGATTATGGCCCTAAAGACACATTTCTAGTGTTTTCACATATTTACCCTTTTTTTGCTGTATTCAAAGTTTTTAGTCTTTGTTTCGATTTGAATAATCATGTTCTTTAGACTTTAGTCGAACTTTATCGCGCTAGTTAGATGTATATAAAACGGCGATCAATCTGTTGCAAAATAAAGCTTGTATGAAAAATATAAGACAAATAACGGTCCAGTTAAATCTTATAACACAACTGCACCAACATCTCTGACTAGGTCTCCTCGACCCATCTGGAAATGTGTGGTACAAAGGGACAATGGTTATTATTTGAGCCGCGTCACGACAAAACCAACATAATGGGTTTGCTACCAGCATGGATCCAGACCAGCCTGCGCATCCGCGCAGTCTGATCAGGATCCATGCTGTTCGCTATCAGTTTCTCTACTTGTTATAGGGTTTGTAAGCGAACGGCATGGATCCTGATCAGACTGCGCGGATGCGCAGGCTGGTCTGGATCCATGCTGGTCGCAAACCCATTATGTTGGTTTTGTCATGACACGGCTCAATTTATTTATTTTTTTTCAAATGACGTTTTCTCCGTAACCAACTGGTCAAACTCGAGTGTGGTTTAAATAAGTAACAAACTTTTTTCAAAGATCGAGATCAAATAAATGGCGAGTACACAGTTACGCTAACGAACCAGATAGCTGTTCTTTATACGCTCAACCCTGTGCGAATAAGTTTCGTGTACAACCAGTTATCGAAAGAAGTTCATTTGTCTAACATGTATCCTATATATCGAGTTTTATCTATTTCTCCGGAGGTAATTTCCAAAAATGAATCATTTCAAGAAAAATTAAATGAAGTATTAGACAAATTGCTTAAAATTGCTATGGAAAATGATGATTGTACAGCAGCAGTTAATTGGACGCTTATTAAAATTATAAATTTATCTTTATGGAACGAGATAATTAATTTGTATTAAAATAATGTATAGTACATGTATACATGTATATTACTATTTCTATTTTATTTATAAAAAATTCGGTTATCATTTGATGATACTTTTAATATTTTTTTCTAAAAATTTAAAATAAAACCACAATAACATTGTAATGAATATCCTGATTTTTTCTTTGAAAAAAAAATTTATGTTCTTGGAGTTACTTTATTACTGTTATTTCGTTTTAAACGTATGCATGTACATAATTCAAGTAGCGCTATATATTGTTTCTCTGATTTAGCTGATATCGTGTGTTTATTTACTGTATTCCTAGAAATTTTCGCGGATACAATATGCGTTTTTCAGAACGTCGGCATTTTCGCGGAGACAAACTTTCGCGGATTTGTAGTTACCGCGAATTCCGCGAATATTAAGTAATACCCGCTTTGATATCTCGAAGGTACATTTATTAGATTTTGTTACTCTATTAACTTCCTCGTCGTTTAGTTTTTCCAGCAAGTTACTTGCTAGTAAAATCTTAACACGTGTTTTACCGCTTCAATAACGGAAAAGTTTTCACCAAATTTTCTATACACCGTAAGTTTAATGTGCTGAGACTTAACTTTCTGCACAAGTGATAACTCTTCCATGTTCATTAGGTCACAGTCAGCTGCTGACACCGTGAATTCTTTATTCCATTTTGATTCCGGTATAACTAGGTCTGATTCCAGCGAAGCATCTTCATCTTTCGGGTCAGGTTTGCTTCTTTTGTCTTGAAATAGCCTAGGTAACAGGGAAATCAGGTCTTTTAATGGCCACTTTAAGTAATCTTTCTGAATGATTTTTCCCAACTCTTGCAACTCTATCGTCTGCTTCTCGGTCATGACCTTATTAGATATTGTTGAATTTATTGTTTTTAACACTGTTTTCAACCGTTCTTTCTTCACATCTATAGGCTTGTGTGCTTCCTTTGCGGAGGTAGTTTTGTTTTTCTGAGATTTTTCATCATCGTCTTCTGCACAAAACTCTTGAACTTCATTCAATATTGCTTTGAAATGTTTGACCTCTTCCTGAAACATGCTTTCCCGCGCTATCTGCATTTCTATCCTGGTTTTAAAGAAGGCGTATAACTTATAATCAAATTGATTTCTTTCTCTAAAAACAGCCATGTCGTCTTCTGTAATATTAAATTCTAAAGTCACATTGGCTTCTTTTTTAAACGAAAATGAATTGCCTGGCACGTAAACTATATCTTCAATGGTAAAATTTAAGTATCTTCTTAACAACACAAGCGACTCGTCAAACTTTTCAAAAAGCATAACCAGATGGAAAGTGTTAGCTGTGTCATTAAGAAACTCGTCAAAAACTTCAAGTGACCCGTTAATGGCAGCTTCAGAATAGCCAATACTCATGCCAAAGTCGTATGACATCGAATTATACGTCATCGATTCCGCCATTGTTGTAGCCTCGTTCTGGCGAGGATTCCTTATAAGGTCAGTGATGAATGTTTCCTTTGGTAACCTTCTAAGGTACGGGTATTTATATTTGAACTTGTAATAAATAGCTGACGATAAAAACTGATCGAACGGTTCTCGTACGATTCCTATATACATGGAATCATTGTGAAGTAGCCTAGAAATCTTTTTACGGTTGAAAACCATGTGATTACATAGAATATCATGCTTGTCACTTTTACCAAGGTTATCTCGGATGTCAGCTGACTCTTTTGGTAATGGTGGCCAGATATCACTGAAGTAAGTTCTCTCCTTTGAGATGTAATGCTGATCTGCCGGAATAACAAAGGATAAATTCCGTTTAAGACCGAATCGCATGAGAATATTTTGAACTGTAGAGCTTGCTGCCTTATGGACTTTTAAAAATTCAATATGAGTTATTTCCCCTGAATTTTTGGACGTATTTTTTCTATATACTTTTGGACTTGTGGACACTTCTGTTCTATACGTTTTGTTTTCTGCAACTGGTATCTCATTTAAAGCTGATTTTCTTGTTTCATACTTTCCTTTGATAGAATCTGTTAAAATATGTTCATCCTGAGCTGGGGTGTATTTTGATTCCTGCAAAATGTTTAATTATCGTTAAGTTCTTAATTTGATAAGGAACACTTGACATGCATAGAAAATTCACAACAATGGAACATAAAACAGCCATACATGTTGCACTGACTTAACAAATATTTAGTTGTTGTTGTTTTTTACTTAAATATTTAAATAAAACAGTGCATAGGGTATTGATCAGCTTTGTAGTGAAATGATTAATAATACATGTAGAACTTGTTTTTTTTATCAACGCGGTATTATGAGGAATATGTAGGGTATCAGACATAAAGTGCAGCAGACCGGTTAACCATTAGGTACGTTTATGAGCATAGCAGTGTAAAATATGTGCACATACTCTCAAAATAATATTACATACTTTATCAGTTGAACTATAAGGACAACAATGTGACTAACTAATATCTTGAATTAGCGATGTATTCAGTTCGCGAATATTAGTGAAAATAATACGCGAAAATTAGTGAAAATGATAACATCGTGAATATTTCGCAATCTACAGTAAATGACTTGATAAATTCAAACATGGTTATAGTCCAAGAAATCCGTGCATAATATGAATAGTGCACCTCATGTGAAAAACATGATAAAGCATATATAAGCACTTTATTTTTTCATCCACGCAAGGCCGTATGGTTGAATGTTGTTCGTAGATCTACATGGTTTCTACATACATATTTTATTTTACCTTTGGCTCGAAGTAGTCAAGAAGCTGCCTTTCCTGTTTTAATGGCGCTTGTAAGTTGATTGTCACCATGTACAATACCAATGTGACCACCAGTAGTACTATAAACACCCATCTCTGTCTGAAAATATAAATCAAAGTATTAGTTATTATTGTACTGACGTAATTGAACATTTATATTTGTTATGCATGTGCATGTATATCACATTATTATATAACTATACGTGTGAAATCAAATAGTATTATTTTAGATTGGCATTCACAGCTAAATTATTCTTTGTACATTTGTATCTGAAACATAATATAATGTCACAGTTAATAGAATCAGTTTTTTTCTACCTATTTTTATCATTATTTAATAGAATGTTAATTCAAGAACTTTTAAGTAGAAGAGAAAATTATAGTCATTTTTAGGAACGTGCATGTAAAGTATGCAAGAAAGATTTTGTCAATCTAGGTAACCTTTTGTTAACAGCTCAATAAATGAGAGTTACACTTTTTTCTAAATTTCTGTTATTTTGTGGGCATTACACATGTAAAGAGCTATTTATGCTCCGCTCCGTTGCTATGCAAAACATAATTTTCTAGGACTTGCACAATTCATGCGCACTGATTATGGCCCTAAAGACACATTTCTAATGTTTTCACATATTTACCTCTTTTTTTTTTTGCTGTATTCAAAGTTTTTTGTCTTTGTTTCGTATGGTGGCATATTTCTGCCACCAGATAACCATATAACTAACTAGTGAATAAAGAGGTTAACTAGTTACGTAACTAGTTAACCTCTTAATTAACTAGTTAGTTATCAGGATAACTAGTTACGTAACTAGTTAACCTCTTAATTAACTAGTTAGTTATCAGGCTATCTGGTGGCAAAAATATGCCACCATAGTTTCGATTTGAATAATTGTGTTCTTTAGACTTTAGTCGAACTTTATCGCAAGTACATCGCAACTACTCGGCCCTTTCCGTCAGTCTTCGGATAATATTATAGATAATAGCCGAGGTAGTTCCGAATGTATAACGGCGATCAATCTGTTGCAAAATGAAGCTTGTATGAAAAATATAAGACGAATAACGGTCAAGTTAAATCTTATAACACAACTGCACCAACATCTCTGACTAGGTCTCCTCGACCCATCTGGAAATGTGTGGTACAAAGGGACAATGGACATTATTTGAGCCGCGTCACGACAAAACCAACATAATGGGTTTGCGACCAGCATGGATCCAGACCAGCCTGCGCATCCGCGCAGTCTGATCAGGATCCATGCTGTTCGCTATCAGTTTCTCTACTTGTTATAGGGTTTGTAAGCGAACAGCATGGATCCTGATCAGACTGCGCGGATGCGCAGGCTGGTCTGGATCCATGCTGGTCGCAAACCCATTATGTTGGTTTTGTCATGACACGGCTCATTTATTTATGTCGTGATATGCCAATGCACGACGATAACCGATAAATATAGATATCAAAGTTTTTTTTAAAATCTTTTGTTACACAACTATATATCTACTTTACTTTATTATTATTCTTTTTTTTTAAATGTACATGTTTCATAGATATACATGACATATATTTACTTACTGTTTCATAATCAGTTAAATCCGCTCCCAAATCACAGTTTGTCAAGTTTAAGTTTAATAGGTCTCTATCGGGGATAAAATGTTCACTTATCTTGAACAGCGAAGATAAAAGTGAAATCAATTTCATTTAAAATTAAAGAACTTCTCTGTCCATTCATATTTTAAACGTTGCTGCCTTATCTACGATATTGAATTGCAGGGATACGGACAAAAGTCCCCCCCGGACGAAAGCCCCCCCCCCCAATCTAAAAATGACAAGGTGGACAAAAGCCCCCCCCCCCCCATGAATTTTCCACATAGGACAAAAGCCCCCCCCCCATAAAAAAGTAAAGGTAGGACAAAAGCCCCCCCACATGGTCCATCACATTAACGTTTAGTGTCAATGAATTAATATCTGCCTTTTTTCAATTAATTTGGTTATTTCATCATCCACCAGAACAGAGTGAAGGCTCTTTGTGAGCAGTTCGACAAGGGTGAGAAGACTATGGCACAATTTCAGTATGCCATGTCACAATGTATCATTTTGAAAGAATTAACAAAATAAACAATTGTATTGAAAAAACATGCATATACAAATATATGTTTTCTATTTGTTAATTAAATATATATAACAAAATAACCAAATTAATTGAAAAAAAGGCAGATATTAATTCATTGACACTAAATGTAAATGTGATGGACCATGGAGGGCTTTTGTCCTACCTTTACTTTTTTATGGGGGGGGGGGGGCTTATGTCCTATGTGGAAAATTCATGGGGGGCTTTTGTCCACCTTGTCATTTATAGATGGGGGGGGGGGGGCTTTCGTCCGGGGGGGGCTTTTGTCCTACACTCTGAATTGCAACGTAACATTTTTTAATCACAGTTCACGTTGTTCCCTTTGCATGATGGGAAAGTTGTCATTGTTATAGGTCGTCTGCTTATTTCCTTTTTAAAATAAATTTTATCCAGTCCCTTAAAATAAGAAAAATATATACTTAATAGTGATTGTTAATTAATTTTGTAGTTGTACTCGCCAAAGCAATTTGTAAAAAATATTGTGATTGGTCACAAAAGTTAACAAAACTTTAGACTGGTACTTTATATTAATATATTTTTATTAGGACACAATAAGACATAAATTAGATCAGAGATCTGTACTGTTTAAATAACTTATCAGTCATAAAAGAATTGCATTGTGGTCAACCTTTAAAGTGAACTCATTCCAAACTTCGGCAACAGCTAGGTTTTTCTACTTAAGTAAGGGATACCAAATGCGCCTGGTTGTCAAATTATATACATGTATGCCATAAAAGCAAAGTAGTTTTATTCACTTTAGGCTCACTGTGATTCTACAATAAATTTATCACCATGTTTGTTAAAAGATATAGTATTGACCTGACCTATTAAGAATGAAAAGATAAAATGTGTGAAAGGTTTGAAGATAACGCAGTGACACCCCGTATTACCGGCGCCAGTAATGACAGAATGAAAGCAGTGACACCCCGTATTACCGGCGTCAGTGATGACAGAATGTTGCAGTGACAACAATCTATACCTAACTGATCCCTTAAGCTAGGTGGTAAATTTTGGTATATTGACAATCCCTAAATTAGGACATTTTCATTTACTATAGGTTTACTGCCTAGACTACACGTTGAGATACTGTGTTATTTTGTAACAAAACTATCTCATTGTGTTGTTTTGTAACAAAACTGTCTCATTGTATTATTTTGTAACAAAATTATCTCATTGTATTATTTTGTAACAAAACTATCTCATTGTGTTATTTTATAACAAAATTATCCCAGAATCTAGCTTTGGAAAGTTTTTGTATAGGCTTTCAGAAAACGCATTTATAATATTTTACTGATTTTGATATCTGGTGATTAAGTTTTACCTGCTTTAGCAAACAGGCGTGATATTTAAACTGGTAAGGAAGCTGCCTACATGTATCTCAATTATCTTTTGTCTCTGAAAAGATATGAGGTCAAAAAAGAAGGAAAACAAGTAATGCTATCTTTACAGTAATTTTATTTTGCAATGGATTTTTTTTCCTGTGTGTTTGTAAAATACATGTTAGCAATAAATAAATTGCAATGAATAAATAACACAGTAACTAAAATTGTTCATAGATTGATAAACCGAACCCTTCATGTAGCAAGCAAGTATGATGTATCAAACACTATAAGAGGCCAAAATAAAGTAATATCCAAGTTCTACTAGAAAACTAATACACCGGTAATAAATTGGATAAATAAGTTGAAAAAAACATTTTTATCTTTGAAAATTATTTCATTTGCATTGTTATTTGTGTTACATTGTTATGCGACCAAAAAGAAAGTGACCAAAAATAAAAAGTTACCGTTTACGTAAACCACAATATCACTTTAGCTTGGCCTTAGTTAATGAAAGCTGTTTATACATAGAAGAAGCGCAAATAACTTTATCATGTGTCCCTGTACAATATTGTATTATGATATCTTACTAGAGCTGTCTGCAAGACGGCACGCTGGACTATTTTCTTTGTTTGACAGTAAGAAAAGGGGCATACCTCTGTAAATAAGGTAAGTAATAGAAAGAGCACCGAAACACAGGGCTATCTGATGAGAAATATGATATTTCTGCCGCTTTCGCTTTCCCTTTCTCTGTCGTCACAGTAAGTAAACCCCAGCAAAAATGAGCCAATCAACGAGCATGATCTGGAGTGCGGGTAACTGATACCTGCACTCCAGTAAACGCACTGTGCATGTATATGTATACGATTTAACTCCGACACTTTTTCAACAGAAAGGTCCCCAACCTATGAAACAACTCAGAGTTATTGTAACAGTGCCCATCATGTAAGATAATCCTAGATAACAAGTGTGTGAAGTTTCAATCCATTCCCTTCAGTGGGTTTGGAAATACCAACCTGCACGCAAAAAAGTAAATCAAAGTGTGACAGTGACGCCGATGCCTGGGTGAGTACAATAGCTCTCCTTATTCTTTGAATAGTGTGGGAAGGTGACATAGTGACTTTCCACCTTTATAAGTGCAGGTATACCTTATTGCCAGAACAAACTGACACTAGAGCCATCAACATAAGTACACTGGCTTGTCCAGGCATTCATTTCTATTTATATATGTATGATATGATAGATACTAAGTATATAAGGGTATAAAGCTATATCTCGTGAAATGTGTTCACAGAATTCAATTTTACAGCAACTTTATTTTGTTTCCATAATTCTATGGCAGATTCTTGACAGAGTTGTAAGAAAAACATCTCTGTTATTTAACAAACGTGGATATTATATATAAACAGAATAAATTATTCATGAACAAAAAATTAATCTGCTATTTCAAGTAGGATTTTCCCCAATTTAGTGCATGCACAATTCTCTCTAAAGATAATATTCAAATTAATTACTTTCCTTAAGGTATTTTGAGATTTTTCTTGTTCAAAATTCAAACACCAATTGTGTTAACTACAGACATCAGATATAAATAGCTTTATACACTTTAAATAAATAATACATACAGATTTTAACTAAATTTGTATTAAATCCTTGTCCATCACCTGGAGAGTGATTAAAAATATTTAGATAACACTTAACATGCTGTAATTAAATGGTTTGTAACAAATGATGAAATGACTTTAGGAGAAAATCCAAAAATGTAAAAATCACCTTATTTTTAAAAATTATATCCTGAATACAATTTTTATAGAAAAAGTCCAAAACTTGTTCCATAACAAAAAAATTAACAGCTATAGTCAATAACATTGTAATAAACAATCAAATGATGATTTCACTAATGTGCCATTAAATAATTACACAATATACATCCATCTATCTTTAAATTTACATATTCAAATAAGTTATGTTTTCATTTTCATGAAACAAAGCAATATAACTTTATATACTTTATACTATGTAACACTTTAGAATGTACATGTATAACATTTGTCTACCATCATAGATTTTTAACTACCATATTCAATTTTAGACTATGATAAATAAGGCTTAGCCATTATGTAGTCTGTTGAATGCCATGTTAGTTTTACAACGTTTTTATTATTATACTGCATGTTTGTAACATCGCTTTTCATTGGATAATTATGATGTTTATATAAAGTATATACCTGACTGCTGACAATTTATTAAGTAATTTCTACTTTTTCTCAAATAAAGTACATTTGCTGTATAATAAATTCATTATAAATATTCTTGACCAGATATATGGCTATATATAAACTGTTGCTTGCATTATAACCCTTCCTTAGTGGTTTTAGTTATATGTGCAAACAACCATACATTTACGACCTTAAATGCAGTATAACCCTCCCTCAGTGGCTCAGGGTTATGTGTGTGTTTGGGTTTGTTTACCCTCGCCACCGGAAAGAGACCATATGGGCGAGCATGCTCAGGGTTATATGTGCAAACAATCATTTATATAGGGCCATATAACCTGTCAAAATCTTTATCACAACAAATAGTGTTTCTACAGACTCAATTGGATTACTACGGTACATGTATAGTGTTTCCATGTATAGTGTTTCCGTACAGTTAACATTGCATAGACATTGCACAAGATATGTTAGGAAAATGTTAATGCTAAAATAATGCCCTCCAGAAGCACTTTTGTGATGTCATTACAAAAAATGTCTCCTGATTCAATAACACAAAAAAAAAAGAGTTTATTCATAGGTAAAATTTGGACACTTATAAATGTTGAAAAACACAAATGTAGGAACTTTTTTTTATATCCTTATAGAGACAGTGAAAAAGACTTTTAAGGAAAATTTAGCAATAATCTTTGGAACATTGTAACTTCCAAAAAACTCTTAAAATCTATACTTTCTAAAAAATCATACAGTATTTTTTTTTTAGAAAATGCCTTAACACCCTGAAAATATACTATCTATCTTCCAAAAACAAGCACAGAATTTTTTTATAATGCATAATGACAAGAAAAACATAACTGTGTACATGTACATGGCCACAAAGTGTCAAAAATCAAACATAAAGACAATGCCATTGTATCTGAGTATATCTATCAATATATGAAAGGCATCAATGCAAAAACTGTTTAGTTATAATAAATTTTACAAACTTGATATGATATAATAATACAAACACACTGAAAGCCAGTGTATAGATCTAACACTGTAACATGTCTATCGTAAATCAATGTACAGATCTAATACAGTAATATGTCTATTGTAAATCCATGTACAGATCTAATACAGTAATATGTCTATTGTAAATCAATGTACAGATCTAATACAGTAATATGTCTATTGTAAATCAATGTACAGATCTAATACAGTAACATGTCTATTGTAAATCAATGTACAGATCTAACACTTTAACATGTCCATTGTAAATCAATGTACAGATCTTACACAGTAATATGTCTATTGTAAATCAATGTACAGATCTTACACAGTAATATGTCTATTGTAAATCAATGTACAGATCTTACACAGTAATATGTCTATTGTAAATCAATGTACAGATCTAACACTTTAACATGTCCATTGTAAATCAATGTACAGATCTTATACAGTAATATGTCTATTGTAAACCAATGTACAGAACCCCATGCTTTTATTTTTTATGCAAGATTTACAAACTTATCACACAAATCCACAAAGTGACAAATGAGACTGTGCAAGGGAAAGAACGGAATATATTATGGATTCCCTCCCATGTGAGTCCCTTAACCTGCCGGATTTGAAAATGACTTGCATTTGCCCACCAGTATAAAGCCAGGCCAGACTACTGTTAAAAACTAAAATTTTATACTTTGATATTGACCTCCCTTAAATTGTGATTGGACTGTTCCAAATTGAAAGCTGGGCAAATCCATTTTACAAATGCAGGAGGTTAAGGGTATAAGATGTAAAATTCAAACAATAATCTCTTTATCTTAAAGGCACATTATGCCTCAGAAGGTAATAAATTTTTACTTTTTATAAGAAAGGGTAAAGTTTATAATGTTTAAATAATGGTTTTAGAGAATCTTAGATGCTTGTGACCTGAAAAAATTGGCTACAATTGTCATAAAAGTAGCAAAATGGAAAAGAAAGTACATGCAGTATTTTGACTTCAATATTAAATACTAGTTCACCATAACTGTACTTATTACCTAAAAGCAACAGATGAAAAAGATGGTTCAGGTAGTTGGCCAATGAGTAACATTTTGGAATGGCACCATAAAAGTAAACCAACATTTAAAAAGCTTTTAAGGACTAAAAATAAAAGCATTTCTGAGGCATAATGGGCCTTTAAACACTGTACAAAATAGCAAACTCTACTGTCATCATTACAAAACAATGCTACGCTAGTGTACATACACTAATGCATGTAAATATTATTACAATTCAACACGTAGGCTCCAGATATTAATAAAGTGAAAGACTTAAAACATCATAATTATTATGATGTTTGTAAAAAAGAAAACACCATATGCCGTCAAATTGTTGAAAATAAAACAGTAACAAACATTTTATAAAAACAACAACAAAACAAACAAACAAAAAAACAACAAGGCAAATAAGTCTAAAAAAATCTTAAAAATAAGATTTGATTTCTACTAGATGGACGATTAAGCTTTCAAAATTGATTTCTCATTCTTTCAAACTTTTGAATAGTTTCACACATGAGAATAATTACAGGGTTTTTTATATTTATCTGAGGCAACAGATGTGCCAACAAAAACAACCAATTTGGCCAAGGGACATCTTAATCTACAGGCTGAAAAATACAGAAGGTTTTTACAGCATTATAACCGATGATGTGGATCGCCAATCTGTTAATATTAACCATAATGAATATAATAATTACTAGTATATCAAAAGAACAGCATTCAATTATTCATTAATATTTGATTATTCAGTTATTCACGAATATTTGATTATTCAATTATTCACGAATATTTGATTATTCAATTATTCACGAATATTTGATTATTCAATTATTCAGGAATATTTGATTATTCAGTTATTCACGAATATTTGATTATTCAATTATTCACGAATATTTGATTATTCAATTATTCACGAATATTTGATTATTCAATTATATATTAATATTTGATTATTCAATTATTCATGAATATTTGATTAACATTGTGAATATAAATATTTGCAAAGTCATTGATACCATATCCTATCAATCTGGCCAATATCCCTTCCCTGATGCCTGACCCCCACCCCTCATGCCTGACCCCCACGCCATCATACCTGCCATCACCCTTCATGCCTGACCCTAACCCCCAATGCCTTACCCCCAGCCCCCATGCCTGACATCAACACCAATCTCTACACCCTAATCAATGCATCACTTATTTTGATTTTGTCATTATGACCAAATTGAAATTATAGTTATAGAAATAAAATATACATGCACGCCTGTGTCTAATTATAGAGGCCATTTTTAAAATTCATCTGTCATGTGACCATTAGAAAGTCACATGGTCACTAAAAATAGAGTACATGTAGCATCTCTAGGTGTAGGTACATGTTCTAAAATATGAGAAAAAATGAAATATCCTCGAAAAATCAAGTGTCAGTCAATGTACGTATATTACCTAAAGTAGGGACATTGATTTACTGTATAGTGAACATATAAATATACATTATACATGTATATATAAATAATAAATATAATCTTCATGAAAATAAAATTTTGAGATGAATAAGTTTTACAGTAATAAACAGGGACTATTACTACAACCCATATACCTATTGCAGTATTACATAAAGAAAGCTTTAAAAACAGGAATATAACAAACTATGTGCCATCTTTAAAGAAATTCAAGGTATCTAACTCCTGTTATACTATTGGCCAATAATGTTCCAAGAGTAAACTGCCATTAAAATAGACAAAAAGAAGTTTGAGTCACTGGTTACATAAACTTTAAGATATCTGGATAAATGACTTAAAACTCTAGATATTATAATTTTGAAATGATCATCACAAGATATGTGTCTTTTGTATAATTAATGAGAGTATAAATTGCAGGTGTATACATGTACTTCTTGTACTGCCATAATACTTGTTATAATAACAAAACAATCTTAATATTATCTTGGTATATTTAAATAATAAAAGCTGTCCGTAAAACAGCGTACTTAACTATCCTCAGTGCTTGATAGTAATAAAAGGGACATAACTCTGTAAAAAGGTTACTCAGAGTTAAAGAACCTATGCCCGTCATGTTAGATAATCACAGATAACAAGTGTGTAAAGTTTAAACCCATTCCCTTCAGTACTTTTGGAGATTGCAACTTGTACCAAAATGTGAGGGCAAATTCGGGGTGAGTACAATAATTCTCCCTATTCTTCAAATAGTCGAGGTTAACATTGATGCAACACAAAATTTCATTTTTTGCAACATCCCAATCTACAAGTAGACTGATAACTCATTAAATATCCTTAATATACATGTATCTTTACAAACTGATTAAACATAATCATTTGATTATCATTTAAGCATATATTAGGACACCTGCGTTGTACTAGAAAGTATTTTAGTGACAATCATATTTTACTTACAACACAGTGACAATTCAATATTTCAATTACTACATTGTCAAGACATACTACCCTTAACCTGCTGAATTTCTTAAATGGACTTGTCTTATTGTGTGTTTTTGGGACTGTTCATTATCAATTTTAGGGATATCACCATGAAAATTTTAAAGTTTTTTAAAGGTTAGGTGTACACTGGAATTTCTACTTATGGATTTGTCGGTGCGTCTATTTGTAGAACTGTTTATTATCAATTTTAAACATCACATTGACACAGTTTAGGTCAGAAAGCGAGTTTCTTGCTTTACTGGTGGAGGGAGACACCAGGTGCCTTTCTTGCATTATTTCCGGCACAAACGGGCACCTGAGTAAAACCACCCATGTTCTGTAAGCTAGCTGGACAGCTTCCTCACATGAAAGAATTCAAAGTCCCCATCGGGATTTGATCCCACAGCCGTGAGGGGCAAGTGATTTGAAGTCAAATTTAAAGGGAGTGAACCAACATTACAGAGCCTGGTCAGACTGCACGGATGCGCAGGCTGGCCTGGCTCTATACTGGTGGCAAAGGCTCTTTATCATTTCTGGATCCAGCAGGTCAAAGGATAATGTACTAGTATTAATTTTTTCTCTAATAGCACTGTCTACTTATACTATAGTTCAAATTGATACACTATCTAGGCACTACTTGAACACAATCACCAGATCTTGGGTAAAGTCATCTTTATAAAGCCTGGTTCTTTACGACATTCCCAGTACCTGTTGTCATACGAGTAATAGTCTTTTCCTTTAATCTTCTCTTTCCTAGAAACATAACACAAGAAGTAGATAAATTTATCACATCAACTACAATATGATTTGATACAGATTATACAAAATTTACTGTTACCAGACTGTACACATTTTATCCCCCTAACCAACTAACCAAGTGCACACATTACTTTTTGATTACATGTATATACTTACTATGTTCTTACAGTCATTTTTAACAGGCGAAATAAAACAGATTTTGTTTTGTTTGGTTGTCCAACACAAGCTAGATCATATGGCTACAACAAAAATATGATTTTGGCTAACCTCCCGTGTTTCAAACTTTAAAGCATTACAAGGGGTGAAAATCATCTCACCTGCTGGAGCTAAGAGATTCATTGACTCCAGTAATTCAAACCCATTTTGTTGCCTCTTAAGATCACACAGGGATAAACAGTGGCTGAAATTCTGACGCATAAATCCTTAAAGGCAACCCCTCAGCCACAAGGGGGGAACATATTTTACACATTGTACTGCTCTAGTGCAAATACTGAAATAATATTCCTAGTCCTTACCACGCACATCAAACTTACAAGCAAACTCATGAAAAGTTTATACGACAGGATCATACGTACTTGAACCATACAGGTTTGCATTCTTCCTTAGCCGCCTCCCTTTTCTTTCGACGGTCTCTCTGTAGAGTCTCCACCCTCGACTTTTCAAGCTCCGCCTCATTTATCTTTCCTTCTTCCAACAATCTCTGGTCTGGTCTAAATCTCGAATCTGTCGGAGCGAGCATGGAAGCTTCATCCGGTAAAACTTCGTTCAGCTCCATTGCGAACCGTGAAAAACCATAGTACACTTCATAATCCTCTGGCATAGTACCTGTTAATCAATATTTATATAGTGTCAAACAGTTTAATACTTGTACAGACTCCAGCAATACTCCTATGAAAACTGTTTGTTACAAAAAACATGCAGTTACTATAGCAACGGAATCACATTTAATCAACTGCTTACCTGGCCTCCATATACACCTGGCTGAGGGGGCGTGGCCACAATACAGGGCCTCATTCCATTTACCAAACAAATTATGGACCACTTTTCCTTCTGGGTTGAGAATGGTTCCATAAACCTCGTGCCTCTTGTCCGACTGATAGTAGTGACTTGCCTGTAAAACAACATACAAACATCATATGAGACGCGTCATGACAAAACCAACATAATGGGTTTGCGACCAGCATGGATCCAGACCAGCCTGCGCATCCGCGCAGTCTGATCAGGATCCATGCTGTTCGCTTACAGACCCTATAACAAGTAGAGAAACCGATAGCGAACAGCATGGATCGTGATCAGACTGCGCGGATGCGCAGGCTGGTCTGGAACCATGCTGGTCGCAAACCCATTATGTTGGTTTTGTTGTGACGCGGCTCATATATTTGAAAGCAATAATACAGTCAAAACTGTATATAAAGGCCATCCAAGGGAGAGAAAAAACATGGTTTTTATAGACAAGTGGTCGTTATTTACAAGTTACTTTATTCCATTTTATTAATAAGGGTTATTAAAAAATGGCCTTTATTTACAGGGTTATATTTATTCAGAGGTGGTCTTATAACACAGTTTTGACTGTATTTTGTTAAGAAATTTCCTGAAAAAATTTATTTGTTCCAGATTCAAAGCTGTGCAAATCCATTACATCAATTCAGAGGGTTTATCAAATTTACATTACATACCTTAGTGAATGTCAGTTTGCAGACTATATTCCCATTTGTGATGGTCATTTCACCAAACTGGTCGACCCATCTCTGACCTCCGAGTATATTATGGACACAAGTGGTCACTTTATTCCAGCGATAATGGTCTTTGAACCTTAATAGGGATACAATATTATCAACATTAAAAAATCATTATATAAGAATATTAATATTCATTGAACTACTCTATACTTTAAAGGAACTCCACTGATCTCCAAAAGCCTAAAAACTTAAAATTTGAGGTTTTTACATAGATCAGCTGGGGCACTTAAGACAGAAATTTATGTAGACGACAATTAAGAAATATTCTTAGAAATGAATTGAAATATGTATTTTTTTGGCTATTCTTAGCCAGATTTGTGTGAAAAAATTTATTGCGATGCTTTTCAATTTATGTCATTTTTCACAATTAAAATGATTATTTTGGAAAAACTGAGTGGGAGAATGACCTGGAGTTTTGCACAAAAAAGTTGCCTAGATGCCTAGACCAACATCAAATGGAACATAAACATCGAAAAATTATTTCCAGTCCCGTCATGTCAAAATTAGTTGAATTAAGGCAATAAAGTATGAGACTAAATATTTTTCCTACAGTACATTGATATATGCCATGTGTCACAACATGTGATATCAAAATAGCTTACATCAGCACGAGGTTTATGATACCATTCTCAACCCAGTAAAAAAAATTCATATACGTAAGGCATAATAAAAATGTATAGAGCTTACTTTGGCAAGAGAACATTAACAACTCCAAGAGGCTGTATTTCCATAGACTTCCCCCAAAACTTTGTCTTTATTTGTACATCTGAAATAAAACAAAAACAAGCGTCATATTCACTTACAGCATCCCTTGCCTCCAAAATTTTCTCAAGAAACTTTTGATTCTTACATGTGACATGAGACTGGACAAATGGAACATCTGTGACTCAATTAAAAGCCAAAGAAATATCTTTGGTCTTCTTTCATCATTATATATCTAATACATGTACATATATATCTATTTTTTTTGTCTAATCTTGGCATTCTTTCCACCTGATTGGCTATCGCTGATAACTTCTCCGCAAATGAACAACTACTAATCCTACATGATTTTAGCCGCATCATGACAAAACCAACATAATGGGTTTGCGACCAGCATGGATCCAGACCAGCCTGCGCATCCTTGCAGTCTGATCAGGATCCATGCTGTTCGCTATTATTGTCTCTACTTGTTATAGGGTTTGTAAGCGAACAGCATGGATCCTGATCAGACTGCGCGAATGCATGGATGCATGCTGGTCACAAACCCATTATGTTGGTTTTGTCATGGCATGGCTCATATATCATAGATGTATTAAAAAACAGAACAAAACAAAGTCTTACCTTGCCATAATTTGAAATGTTTGGAATCACAGTAGCATGCTGATATGGGCGGATGATGGCTCACCTGTTAGTACAAAACAAATAAATTACAAAGATATATATTTTAGTAGTTTTGTAAAAATATTAGACATAAACATTATGTCAGTCTCCCAACTTTTTATTGTACAGTCGAAACTGTCTTAAGCAGCCAGCCAAGGGATGCAGTCATTTTGGCTGCTTAAGACAGGTGGCTGCTGAATGGAGGATCCAGTTTTTATCCAAATAAATTATTCATTTCTTTGTAAAATAAATCTGATTTAAAGTATAAATAAACCAGTCTGATTCATCATCATCATCATCAGTTGTTTTAACCATTTACAAACGTATGCTTTTAATGGTTTAACATGTACACAATCCTTCCAACATATAAAGCTTTACATGAATGTAACACAGATAAACAAATGCACTCACAATTTATTATGTCAATAATTGAAACTATTTATCCCATAAAAATATCTTCCTGCACAATAATTTAAAATGCGTAATATTGTTTTCACAAAAAAAGTATGACAGTTTCTTTTTCTAACATTTGATCAATAGAATATTGTGTACACGTCATCTAAGTGTCGGCACTTCCTTTGATGTTTCGGATTGAAACACCAGGGCTACAGGTTTGTAAACATCAAAGTTTCCTTTGAAGAGATCGCTTGTTACCTCTTAGAGGTCATCTGGTGTGTTAACTTAATGGCTGTGATTTAAACAGTGACCTCATTATATTCATGCAATTTATATTTTCACACATGGAGCAAGTGTTTTTATGAATTTATTACTGAGGAATTTAGACAATCGGTGATGTAATTCATTTTCATTTCTTTGGTAAGTACCATGTACGCACAAAATTTATCTGAATCGGGATAAACTGAAATTTCTTTCTGACATTGACAATGCATTTTTTTCTTCTTTCTTTTTTTCTTAAAATCGGTAAATTGAAAAATAAAAAACTAGCATACAGTAACTCAAACGAACAAATTGCAAGTGCGTTTAGACGTTCCAAACGTTTGTAATTACGACACGGATGAGCAATTATGCAAACTTCTTGAAATGTTGTGGTTTGTGTTAATATCTAGCACCTGACAAGTAACTTTTGTTAATCCGTGACACGTGTCATCTTTGAAAATAAATGACAGAAATTGCCTGGCCGTTTCACCTGGCTGACCGCAGAAGATTGCCTGGCCGTTTCATCTGGCTGACCGCTTAAGATGACCGACTTTAAGATTCAGGAAGCATTTTAGGTGACCGTTGATCGCGGACAGCAGGTGACCGTTGAACAGATGTATGAAATAGAGTGGTTTTCGTCGGGAGCGTCACAAAAATGGCCGTTAAGGTCAGGTGACCGCCGATAAGAGGTGACCGTTAGTACAGTTTTCAACTGTATATAACTTCATTGGGTTACTAACCAATATAAACATATTCAATAATTCCACCTCCAAGTTTCTGCAAATAACTGTAAGCCATGACATGTGTGGGATACCTTACCACCCTAAATATCATAAATGTACTTGTCCACCTTTCAATCTAGACTAAACCATTTATCATGAATAGGGAAAATTTCAAAATAAGTACTGACTGATTAGAGAACAGTACAGACCATGATCAATAGGCAAGGATGTCCCAGCTGATCTTGGTCTGCACTGGGCACATGGTTATATTCAATTGCCATCAGAAGTTTCAAGTGCACTCACATGTAATAAAGAGCCTTAAACAGACCTTGCTGTCAACTTCCCATGTTACATTTTTATCTAGTGTAACTAACACCTTATACTTTATTATATTATTAACAGAACAACCAATTTATATAACAATCCTTTGAGTTAAGAAACACACAATCTGGAAATATTTATGTCTAGTTGTAAACCAAATTCAAATCATACATGTATGACACATTGTTGTGTAAATTTATCTTTAGTGATGAAAGTATAACAAGATGGATGAACATTTATGTTTCAACACTTACTGAAAACCCCTGTATTTACCAATATTTTATTTACAAGTTTCAGTTGAAAAGATTGTCAATGAACATATGATTATTATAATAATAATTCGTTTTTGGTTGGGTTTTACATCTCACAAACACAATAGAGTATAAGTCATATGGAGACTTTCCAGCCATACTGGTGGAGGAAGACCTCAGGTGCCTCTTTGTGCATTATTTCAGGCATGAAAAGGCACCTGAGTAGAACCACCGACGTTCCGTAAGCTAGCTGGATAGCTTCCTCACATGAAATAATCCAAAGTCCCTGGCAGGATTCAAACCTACAGTGGTGAGGGGGCAAGTGGTTTCAACTCAAAGATCCAAACCAAACAGCCCCAGACATATGATCATGCTATGTATTTGCACATTCTGTATCCTTAGAAAATAGTCTCAAAGAATTTAACAATAATGATAATGTAATTGATTAAAGGGATATTCAGGCAAAATAATGACAAAACTATCAAAATGATCTTATGTACTCAAATCACGCTAAAATGACATTTCTTAAAGTTCCAGCATGAATTTCTGTTTAAATTCTACATAATTATATTGTGTTTGAAGCGTAAATATACAGTCTAACTTGCCCATGCGACCACGTGTATTAAGCGACTTTGATCTTAAACGACCACTTTATATATCCCCCCCGATCATTTTCACTCTATATTTTAATGTATTAAGCGACTTTTGCTCAACGCGACCAACGACCGCTAATAAGTCACCTAATTGAGATCAACCTTTTCATTAAACGACCACTTTTACCTGTCAAGTAATTGTGTTTTTAGGGAATGCCGCCTCGTAATGTCATAAGTGTCAACAATCAAAACACAACAAATAAATGTGTGAAAAACTCTACTTCCCAAACCGTTTAAGCGTAAGCAAATAAAGTTAAGTATATGTGTGACGTGTATTATCCAATAATATCGATTAAACAATGCAACGCTCCGCCCCTACTGATGTGGTGTATACACTCCGGTTGTTGACATTTAGACTGCATTGAATTGACCTTGAACTTGATCAGCAATTAAATTAAATGTAGTTTGTTTATTTCGATTGAAAAATGCACAACAGAAAAAAACGTCTTCACTAGTAGGGTTTCCGTGTTGGAGACAAGGAAAAACAACGGAGAAGTTAAACAATTCGGGAAAAAATGTCAAACATGTACGAAATGGATCACAACTGTTTTTTTGTCAATAAATAACAGAAAGTTATTTTTTACATTGGCATCCATTTAGATTATCGAGCATGCTAATTATTCAACACTTATATGACAAGAGCTGTCAGAAGGACAGCGCGCTCGACTTTTTTAGTGCTTGCCTATAAAACAAAACTTTGACAGTTAAGGGCACACAAGACTTTAACTAGGAATTTCTAAGTACAAATCAAGAAACATTTTCACAGAGTTATCTTCTCTTGCTTACAGATAGGTCTCATGATGGCACATAAGAACTCCAACTTCCAAAGTAATATCTCAAATGGTTAAGTCAACAAGTGGACAAGAATGAAAATTTTAACTGAGTTTCTAAGTCAAAAAGGGCCATAATTCAAATAAAATCCTTAACAGAATTACCTTCTCCTGCCCATGTTTTGGGACCATGATGGTAAACAAGTATTTCAACTTTCAATTTAATATCTCAACCAGTTCAGTCAAAAAGTTGACTGGTACAAAAAAGTTAACCAAGATTCTAAGTCGATAAAAGGCCTTAATTTTTAAAACAAATCCCTGACAGAGTTACCTTCTCTTGCGTACAGATGGGGGTAATGATGTGAAATAGCATTAAAAGTTTCAAAGCAATATCTCAAAGGGTTAAGGCAATAAGGTGGATTTTACCCATATTCAATGTATTTTCTAAGTCAAAAAGGGGCATAATTCTGTCAAAAACCTTGACAGAGTTATGTCCTCTTGTCTGTTGATGAAGGTCGTGATGGTAAACAAGTATGGTCAGTTTCAAAGCAATACCTCCAATGGTTTTTGAAATAAAGTGAGGTGGTACAAAAAACTTAACCAAGCTCAATACACTTTCTAAGTCAAAAAAGGGCCATAATTCTGTCAAAAACCTTGACAGAGTTATGTACTCCTGTCTGTAGATGAAGGTTATGATGGTGAACAAGTATGGTAAGTTTCAAAGCCATACTTGTAATACTTCTGAAATAAAGTGGGGTGGTACGAAAAACTTAACCAAGGTGTGACGCCAACGCCGACGCTAACGCCGACGCCGACGCCGACGCCGGGGCGAGTAGGATAGCTCCCCTTTTCATAGAAAAGTCGAGCTAAAAATGAAGTTGTTTAAGATTCCCACCGCATAAGAAAGATGTCATTTGTAAATTTTGACTTATATGTCATGCTTTGTCTTAAGAGACCGTTTCATTAAGCGACCGTTTTGGGTGTTTCCCTCGCGCGGTCGCTTAATACAAGTTTGACTGTATCTATTTCATTGAACAAAATTTAGACGCCAATAAAATCACCGAATAGTTTTAAAACAAGTCATGTCACTTAAATAAACCCTTGAAGTTACAATTAAAGATATTGTGGATATTGTATGATTGAAACAAGTCGAAGTCATTCATTTGACATGTTCTTTAACGTTTCCAGAGTTCACCGTGACAACTTTTGTGAAATCCTAGTGCTCTTACCTGACCCACGCGGGTCAAGTTAGGAAACCAAAATTTTATTTTTTATACGGAGAAAAGATTTGTTCTTTTGACTGTCCAATGTATTCACTTTCGGGGCATTAACAGAATAATGAATGAAAAATCCAAAACTAAGAAATGAAAATTTTGCCTGTGTCTGCCTTTAAAACACTGATAACCTTACCTGCTCGGCAACAAACCTCCATCCCCTGTCTTCTCGTACATTTTCGTATGTTTCACCAAGTAGAGGGTTAAATGGTTTGTGGCCCACTCTATAACAGGAGCTTGCATAGCTGCTCACAGCAAATGCTGCTATATAAATCTGAAAACAAAGTGAACATAAAATATGCAGGCTTTGTCAATCAAGCAATAAATCAGATAAATTTGATTACCTTTTGTCACTTTTAGTACTTTATCACATTAAACCTGATAGATTTGCATAATGAATTTGTCTGGATTTAATTTAATTTTGGAACAGACCAATCAAAGTTTGTTTGTTTGTTTGATTGGGTTTTACGTCACATCGACACAGTGTAGGTCATTTGGCGACGTTCCCGCTTAACTGGTGGAGGAAGACCTCAGGTGCACTTCCGTGCATTATTTCAGACAAGAACGGGCACCCGAGTAGAACCACCAACATCCATAAGCTAGCTGGATAGCTTCCTCACATGGAATCCAAAGTCCCTGTCGGGATTCAAACCCACAGCGGTGAGGGGCAAGTGGTTTGAAGTCAAAGACCTTAACCACTCAGCCATGGACGCCCAGACCAATCAAAGCTTAAGGATTTCAACAAGAGTTGTCTGTAAGACAGTACACTCTACTATTGTCAGTGCTAGACACTAAGACAGTAATAAAAGGGGCATAACTCTGTAAAAAATAACTCAGAGTTATAGGACCTGTGCGCATCATGTTTGATAATCACAATGAGAACAATTTTACAGGGTGTGTTTTTGTCCAGTGTGCTTTTGTCCATCTCCTGTTGAGCAGTGACCTCGTAAATAAAAGTTCAAATCCTTTTAATATGAAATGCAATAATAACTCTATTGGAACACTGAATATTTATCAAGTGTAAAATTTCATTTCATTTCCTTCTGTAACAATAACAATCACAAATTAAACAGATATCAATTACAGAATTTCCCGACTCCTGTAGATTAATGAGAAAATTTGTTTTTTAAATGAGAAGTTTCTTATTAGCTATAATGATGAAATTGCATATTCACAAGGCTTATATAAATCATCTAATTTTTCATATATAATACTAGCATTAAGAAAGTCAATTAATATCTTCCACAATATAAAATGTATCCAATTAACAGCTTCCGCTATATAAAATTAATCTCCCTAGGTAGAATTCAATATAATGTCTAGCATCTACACATATCGTTATCAATTATCATAATATTATCTTTTAATATATTGTAACAATCTTTTAAGATTACATTTTTTGAAGAAATTTTCAAACTTTTTATTTTTATATCTAAATCTTTTCTCTTTGTTTGAGTTTCAAGTGTAACTGAACATATAGTTATATTTATTTGGTCACCATAGGTAACATCTAGCACTGACATCTGAGTAGACATAAACTAGAAATGAAGCTTGTACAAACCATTCTTTCATAGGGATCGTTGTACTCTGTGGCTTTATCTATCAAGTCACTGTATTCTAATTCCTCACACAGGCGCTGAAATATATACAAACAAAAAACATTAATTCCTATGTAGATGTTCATAGTTCTTACTTTTCCTTAATTCTATATATTTGTTAATTAGCCAAGGAAGTTTATATGATCATAGGGGAACACTTAACACTCTCTCTACAAAGAAAGCTAAACACATAGATCTTACACTCTTTATACACAGTAAGCTAAACACACAAACCTTACACTCTTTATACACAGTAAGCTAAACACACAAACCTTACACTCTTCATAAACAGTTAGCTAAATACACAAACCTTACACTCTTCATAAACAGTAAGCTAAACACACAAAACTTACACTCTTCATGCACAGTAAGCTAAATACACAAACCTTACACTCTTCATGCACAGTAAGCTAAATACACAAGCCTTACACTCTTCATACACAGTAAGCTGGACACACAAGCCTTACTCTCTTCTTACACAGTAAGCTCAATACACAAACCTTACACTCTTTATAAACAGTAAGCTCAACACACATACCTTACACTCTCCATACACAGAAAGCTTAATACACAGACCTTACACTCTTTATAAACAGTAAGCTTAATACACAGACCTTACACCCTTTATAAACAGTAAGCTTAATACACAAACCTTACACTCTTTATACACAGTAAGCTTAATACACAAACCTTACACTCTTTATAAACAGTAAGCTTAATACACAAACCTTACACTCTTCATACACAGACAGCTTAATACACAAACCTTACACTCTTTAATAACAGTAAGCTTAATACACAAACCATACACTCCTCAACACAGTAAGCTTTATTCACAGACCTTGCAATCTTTCTACACAGTCAGCTCAACACACAGACCTTACACTCTTTCAACACAGTAAGCTCAACACACAGACCTTACACTCTTTATACACAGTCAGCTCAACGCACAGACCTTACACTCTTTATACACAGGTAGCTGGACACACAAAACTTACACTCTTCATACACAGTAAGCTCAACACACAGACCTTGCACTCTTTCTACACAGTAAGCTCAACACACAGGCCTTGCACTCTTTATACACAGTAAGCTCAACACACAGACCTTGCACTCTTTCTACACAGTAAGCTCAACACACAGACCTTACACTCTTTATACACAGTAAGCTCAACACACAGGCCTTGCACTCTTTCTACACAGTAAGCTCAACACACAGACCTTACACTCTTTCTTCAAAGTAAACAAAACATACATCTTTTACACTTGGTATTCAATTGGTGAGCACACTTCAACAAATAAAGAGTCCATACCTGTAGCATACTTAAAGGTTCATTCAATGTGACAGGCATTGATATTTTGGTCAGATCTTTGCCAATATTCCTGAACAACAAATTCCACAATGACACATCCCCCTTGTCTGGTTTCGGAACTGGAAGTTTAGATCTACGACCAGTCTGAAACTTTGTCAGAATATTGTCTTCTGATGCTGAAAATAAATCATAACATAACATAAAAAAACTTTAAATTCAAAGCTTGAAAGTTACACATGTTGTTTAGATGATAATTATTCCCGAAAGAACTTTTAGATATACTTTAAATATACAATGCAATTATGTGGCATAAGCTTACTAACAAACAGTTTGCGGGATTTTAACCACTTTCTTTTTTATGCAAAATAACCAATATCCCCTCCATTGCTTTAATCTGTTTATGGGCTTTAAAAATTGTGATTGCCAGGTCCCTGATGTGGAAATGTAAACCTTCTTCTGGTAAATCAAATCACATACAGTGAACACTGTTCTATAAATGAGCCGCGCCATGACAAAACCAACATAATGCGTTTGCGACCGGCATGGATCCAGACCAGCCTGTGCATCCGCGCAGTCTGATCAGGATCCATGCTGTTTGCTTACAGACCCTATAACAAGTAAAGAAACTGATAGCGAACAGCATGGATCCTGATCAGACTGCGCGGATGCGCAGGCTGGTCTGGATCCATGCTGGTCGCAAACACATTATGTTGGTTTTGTCGTGACGCGGCTCAAATTGTAACAGCTTATGACTGATGCTTGAAACACTATTTCAGTGGGTTTGAAAATTACACAGATTCTTTACACAGTGAATATCATCAAGGTAGAAGCTTTCAGTAATCTTTGTCAACTTTTTCAAAGCCTACTTAACCCAAAATGTGACAATCATCTATCCGAGTAAGTCATAATGAAGTTGATGTTGAAATGTAATGTAAATCTTATAAGGAAATGACTAAAACAATTACCACTATGTGCCATACTGACTTCTGTATCATTGTCATCACTTATGTCACTTGATATCTCTTCATCAGATCTCTGTTATAAAAAACACATCTTTATACAAATATTATAAATAAAATGTTGTGCTTTTCTTAACATAAACATGCTTAAACCGTCACTTGCTGATACTGAGGGTTTACTGGCCTTTGTGGCCTTTGCCACTAGAATCACACAATGTCAATCCGTTCACCTGTGCATATTGCAATATGAAAATTTGTTATTCTTATTTACTTTTGTGATAAAATCATTATTTTGGTCTGAGTTTGTATCACGGGCATGTTGGTTCAATCCTCTATGACAAATGATCTAGGACATTTAGTATAATAATCATTTGTTTCTCACTGCTGATCTAGACATTAGTAGTGTTTCATCTGCAGAGAAATTAATAATTACTGGTTATTTATCTAGGAAAGCAACTAAGGTCCAATGACTGCCGAAATATGACCAAAATGGCTTACAAACCAGACAAACAAAATGAATACTTAATACTGTTATTTCTAGTCAAAAAGTTGCTTCAGTTTTTTTCCGAATTGATGATCATAACATAAAAACAACAGTTTTCTTTTTTGTATTAAAAAAGTTCTTTTATACCCTATAGCAACTTAATTGCCATCAGAATAAGCTAGGGCCTATCAGAAAACCCTGAACCATACATCTGTGTAGTAAATTCATAAATCATAAATATCTGATACTTTTGATGTCTATCTGCAATTTCCAACAATCCTATGAAGAAACTAATTTTTGGCACCAGACAACACATTTTACATCATTTTATACCTAAACTATGCTCCTGATACCATATTTAACACGTAAATCTCACCTCTGATGAAGAATCACTAAGAGATTCTGCATTGTTCTCCTCCACTGCATCATAATATTCTGACATGGAACAACTTTCTGCGGAAAATGACTGTGTTAACTGTGGAACCTAAAAACAGATCAAAATATCAACCGTGTATGTTTAAGCCACTGTGATAGGCCTGTATAAATAGTTCAAAGTCTTGCAATCCTGGACCTGACTTCATTGTGTAATCTGATTTAAAACTTTGTTATTTGAGTCCATACAGAGAAAAAAAAGTGAGTTTTAAAATAAATGTAAAGAAAAATTTACTTGTCAACTTCCACATGCATAATGATAAAGCAACACTGTTAAATTCAAATAGACATTTCAACTTTACTGGTTGAGGAAGATTTCTGGTGCCCCTCTGTTTATTATTTCAGACACAAAGGGGCAAGTCCCTCGTGGAATGAGAACCCCCAACGATGAGGGGCCAGTGGTTTGATATCAACAATGACATTAACCACTTCACCAAAGCCCACCATCATGGCAAATATAAAATGCCTTTTAAAAAAGTAAGTTCAAAGGAGCAGAATTATATTTAAGCTTTTATCACATTCTGGCACAAATAAAGTTTAA